TCCTTTTTTCACAATTTTACACTGTAACAATACATCCTAATATAAAATAAGGAGATGTGGTATGCTTGCCAATGAGACAACTATCCAACAGAATCCAAATGATGCAGATTTAAGCAACTATAGGCCATTCTACAGGCTTTAACAATGAGCAAAACCCATAATGTATATGTGGTCATTCAGCTAAATTTTTGTATAACATAAAGTTGCATGACATAACATAAAGTGAAACAACAGCCTGATAAATGAGAAAACAATAAACTGAAAACCAATATGACAAACAACCAACTAAATTACAGGCTGGTACAATGTACATATAGAATGTGGTAGGTAAAACATGTTTGTGAGCACTCAACCCTCCCCCTATCTGGGACAGTGGTTTAATAGCACACTGTAAAAATCAGTTGGAAATGGTTTGACTCATCAGATCAGCATGAAACACAAAAAAACAACTAATACCAAGACAAAATAAATGGGGAATGTGTCCATGGGACACAGATGATGCACCCGCTTGCATATCATATAAAGTTATAACTTAAGAACGGTAAAAGTGATGCTACCCAAATTTGTACTTGATCTGAGTTTTGTGGTAATAAGTTTTGTGTACAAGTTTCTTAAAATTTGGTTGAGGCAAACTTAAGAGACCGGAAACGAAAAATTCAGCAATTTTTCCATTTGTAAAGGGGCATAACTCTAGAACTGTTAAAGTGACACCACCAAAATTCAATCTTGATCTGTATTTTGTGGTAATAAACATTGTGTATAAGTTTCATAGCATTTATTTGAGGCAAACTAAAGTGCTAGAACAGAAACGAAAAATTCAGCAATTTTTCCATTTGTAAAGGAGAATAACTCTAGAACCATTAAAGTGACGCCACCAAAATTCAAACTTGATCTGTATTTTGTGGTAATGAAAGAACCTTAGTGAGCGCGCTCACATACCCCACGTCCCCACATTGTCATTGGAGAAATAAAATAAGTGTAAGAAAAAAAAATTGTATCAGAAAAAAAAATTGAATCATAATTTCCAGTCAATATGCACATCTACATAGTATGTCCTTATTATCTACAAAGTTTCATGAAATTCTGTTGTGTGGTTTGAGAGGAGTTGCGATGACAAAAGGTTGCAGTAGTATATTGGGCAAATAAGTTCAAAAGGGCGTAACTCCTGGAAAAAAAATTTAATCGTAATTTCCTGTCGATATGCACATCTACGTAGTATGTCCTTATTATTTGAAAAGGTTTCATGAAATTCTGTTGTGTGGTTTGAGAGGAGTTGCAATGACAAAAGGTTGCAGTAGTATATTGGGCAAATAAGTTCAAAGGGGGCGTAACTCCTGGAAAAAAAATTGAATCGTAATTTCCTGTCGATATGCACATCTACGTAGTATGTCCTTATTATCTGAAAAGGTTTCATGAAATTCTGTTGTGTGGTTTGAGAGGAGTTGCGATGACAAAAGGTTGCAGTAGTATATTGGGCAAATAAGTTCAAAGGGGCGTAACTCCTGGAAAAAAAATTGAATCGTAATTTCCTGTCGATATGCACATCTACGTAGTATGTCCTTATTATCTGAAAAGGTTTCATGAAATTCTGTTGTGTGGTTTGAGAGGAGTTGCGATGACAAAAGGTTGCAGTAGTATATTGGGCAAATAAGTTCAAAGGGGCGTAACTCCTGGAAAAAAAATTGAATCGTAATTTCCTGTCGATATGCACATCTACGTAGTATGTCCTTATTCTCTGAAAAGGTTTCATGAAATTCTGTTGTGTGGTTTGAGAGGAGTTGCGATGACAAAAGGTTGCAGTAGTATATTGGGCAAATAAGTTCAAAGGGGCATAACTCCTAGAAAAAGAATTGAATCGTAATTTCCTGTCGATATGCACAACTACATAGTATGTCCTTATTATCTAAAAAGGTTTCGTGAAATTCTGTTGTGTGGTTTGAGAGGAGTTGCGATGACAAGAAACAGGACTGACGGACTGACAGACGGACGGATAGACAGACAGACGGACGGACAAACAGACAGACGGACGGACAGACAGACAGACGGACGGACGGACGGACAGACAGACAGACGGACGGACGGGTCAAAAACATTATACCCTCCGCAACTCGTTGCGTGGGGTATAATAAGCATTATGTATAAGTTTCAGAGCATTTGGTTGAGGCAAACTAAAGTTAGAGAACGGAAATGAAAAATTAGGCAATTTTTCCATTTGTAAAGGGGCATAACTCTAGAACCGTAGAAGTGAAACCACCAAAACTCATAATTGATCTGTGTTATGTGGTAATAAGCAATATGTATAAGTTTCATTACATTTGGTTGAGGCAAATTCAAGTTAGAGAACGAAAACCAACTATGGGATGTACGTATGGATGGACGTACAGACGGACAAGGGTAAAACTTAATGCCCCCTCCGCTATGGTGGGGGCATAAAAAAGGTGCAGAACTTAGAGTACTCACAGTTACTGAAAGCTAGTTTAAAGCCAATAACAACTCATGAACTAATGAATAATAAATCATGGTCGACCAGACTAAAGATCATTTATGTTTCTAAACCAAGGATTTTTTTTTTAAATACCAAAGGTTGATATCAAGACAGAAGCTAATGAACATGGCAAATGATATATTTCTAAGTAAGTACCAATAGTTATATGTGTATGTCAATAACTTCTAAAAGGTAAGAATTTAATGCACTCATTACCAGACATACAGACATGGAATATGTCTGCTGAGCACATTTTCTAATTTTAACTTGAAACTTTTACTAACAAAAAACCTATAAGGCAAAGACCTGTCTTATATATAAATACTATAACTACACATGTCATTTATGTGGAGAGAAATTTGGCAATTAAGCTGTAATTGAAGCTGCCATAAAATACCTGATTCATGTAATGTTGAGTTATTTATAAACACAAGGAAATGATTCATTCAGAAGAAACAATGTTCATAAGTATGCATGTACCTTTATCAAACACCTGCAGAAATATAAATATATGGCCTGGTAAATATTTCATTTTTATATTAGATCACCTTGATCAGCCAATATTAAAATCATTGTCATTTGACATCTAACTTTACTAAATATATGAATGACAGATGATATCTCATGTTATACACAGACTCGTGACATTTATTCAAAGCAGATCATAAGACTGCAGTATCAAAAAGTTTACTCTAGTATTGGTGGGTGTACTTGAGAATATATTTCATACATCAACATCATTAACAGTACAAGTTACATTTGTACAGCATTTCAGTGCAGAAATAATCAAAGAAACATTTTAGTCCTGCTTTAAGGTCATAAATTAGCAAACTATTGAAGCAAGACAAGATTGTGCCTTCCTGTACTATTTATGGCATTGCTGCATAAAATATTCAATGAAGTACAGCCATCCATATACATTAAGTATTTCAAATCAGCAGGTTTTATGTTTAATGTATTCTTTTATTATTCTGAAGACTGAATAGGATATATATCATTGCAGTGGTCCTGAAAAATAGAAATTTCCCTTCCTTGACCATTGACCTTGATGTGGTGGAATTGCACAGCTCAAATATTTGACAATTCCCAGGACAAAAATATAGTACAGATGAAACACTATCTAGTGGTATATGATATAGCTGCATATTATGTGGATGCATGAAAATTAAAGTATATTGTTATTGTCAGTCCACTACATTCAATGTCAAAGTCAGGCCATTTATACCAGATAAGACTTTAAACCAACAATATAATCTTATGTTTAAACCATTCACATCAGACATGTTTAAAACTTATTTTTGTGGTACCAAATCATTGCTTTATAAAATACTCACCAATGCCAGACCATTGACACTAGAACTAACTACTGTAGATACCAAACCATTGCTTTATATAATACTCACCAATGTCAGACCATTTACACCAAAACTATACTCACCAATGTCAGACTAATTCACACCAGAACTAACTACTGTTGATACCAAACCATTGCTTTATAAAATACTCACCAATGTCAGACCATTGACACTCAAACTAAACTCACAAATATCAGACCATTGACACCAGATCTAACAACTGTTGCTAGGAAACCACTATTTTATAAAATACTCACCAATGTCAAACAAATTACACAAGAACTAACTACTGTTGCACCAAACCATAGCTTGATAAAATATTCAGCAAAGTCAGATCATTGACAACAGAACTAACAACTGTTGCACCAAACCATTGATTTATAGAATACTTACCAATGGCAGACCATTTACACCAGAACTAACTTCTATTGCACCAAACCATTGCTTTATAAAATTCATATCAATGTCAGACCATTTACACCAGAACTAACTTCTATTGCACCAAACCATGGGTTTATTTAATACTCACCAATGTTAGACCATTTACTCTAGGACTAACTACTGTTGCATCAAACCATGGGTTTATAAATTACTCACCAATGTCAGACCATTTACCCCAGAACTAACTACTGTTGCACCAAACCCTTGATTTATACAATGCTCACCAATTTCAAACCATTTTAACCAGAACTAACTACTGTTGCACCAAACCACAGCTTTACAAAATACTCACCAATGTCAGACCATTTACACCAGAACTAACTACTGTTGCACCAAACCATTGCTTTATATAATACTCGCCAATGTCAGACCATTTACACCAGAACTAACTACCTTTGCACAAAACCCTTGGTTTAAACAATACTGACCAATGTCAGATCATTTACACCAGAACTAACTACTATTGCACATAACCACTGCTTTATAGAATACTCACCAATGTCAGACCATTTATCACCAGATCTAACTACTGTTGAACCAAACCCTTGGTTTATACAATACTCACCAATGTAAGACCATTTACACCATAAAAAAATACTGCTGCACCAAACCAAAACATATAGAATAGTCACAAATGTCAGACCATTTACACCAGAACAAACTACTGTTTTTTAGAATACTCACCAATGATAGACCATATACACCAGAACTATACTCACCAATGCCAGACCATTTACACCAGAACTAACTACTGTGGCACCAAACCATTGGTATGATTTGTCTTCTTTGTCTAAATAATTTGTTCCATTATACTGTTGATCATTTCCTAGTAAAAGGAGAGATATTAACAATTAGATGCTAAAATAATCTTGAAGAACTGACCTGGTATCTTTTTTTTTCAATGCATAAAACTGACTCAATAAAAAATATTGAAACATACAAGAATAAACCATCAATCATTTGAATTGAAAAATTATTTTAAATGTGAAAAAAAATGTTGCAATTCAAATGTCAAAAGACATGAACAATTATTTTCTGAGGATATGTTTAGCTGAGGATATATATATATGTTTAGTCAATTTAGTGAGGAGACATGAATCTAAATTTGATTTTACACTGTATCTATTTTGGTTGTACCAAATAACATCTTTTATCTCAGAAACCATGTGAATTAGGGTATATAACATACTTAAAAATACAAACAAAATTCATAAGAAATCTTAAAGAGAAACAAGAATATTCTGTCTCTTACAGAAGTGGTGTCCAGCAATATAGTTATTTCTATTTTGTAAAAATAGTTTTGTAACACTTTAAAGATGACATCTTAGAGGTGGTTTTATCTATAATGTATCTTTGATTCTGACATAGTCATATGTAAGATGATGATGATAATTGATTGATTGGTGTTTTAACTTTAATGTGCAGTGGAAAATATTACATGCATATCAGGACAAGAACATTAGGATTTTGAACATGCTATTTGATTAGGTAACAGTCTGCTTGAAGACATGTCACCCTACCTTGACACATTATTATGACATCCAGTCAACGAGTCTTTGCACTAACTCCTAAATACTGCTTGCTTGACAGAGAAGTAACAAATACCCATTTTTTAAGTCTTTGGTTTTACCTATCTAGGGATTAAACACATGACCTCCCACTCATGAGATGTGCATGCTAGCATTTAGACAATCTGAAACTACTGACATCTTATTAAATATATTCCCTTAATTTTACCATCTGTTGGACCTGTATTTTGAATAGGTCTTATCAAGTATTATGTAGTAAAGTTCACTCAGAGTGATATTGCATACATCTGCTGCACATCAGATTGAAGCTTAAACTTAATTCAAAATTTAACAATGAAAAGTGAGGTCACAACTTTAAGTTTCTTGCTTAATTTCTTGTTTTACAAAGTTACAATGTGATATTACAATGTACATTGTAAATCTTCTTTTACCTTAAAATAGAAGTTACCCAATTTGTGGACCTATATTTCATGTACAAATGTATTTCAAAATACTTCATTTCTCCATATATTCTTTAGTGAAGATATAGAAATATAGTTTGAGCAAGGAGGGTAATATAATCTCCTTGCTATGAGGTACATGTTGAAGAAACATTTTGAAATTTGTAGTTTATGATCCAATTTTTTAAACACAAATTAAAGTTAGAAAAATGCTTTGTTTGAAGTGTTTACAATGGTTTAAATGGGCCTCATTGGGGTCTAAGCGTGATGCGGGATTGGTCAATTTTTTGTAAGCATGACACATGAAAGTCACGTTATTTTGCGTGAAAACGTGAAACGTGAAACAAACCTGTCAAAAAATTCCTCAAATGATTTAACAAAGAATGTCTTTTAAAAAATGAGTTATCTCCCTTTGTACAGAAATATGGTTTAACATAGTACTCTAACATTAGATATGGTCCAGAGTTATGGTCCATAACTCTGGACTAAATCATCAGACCGGAACAAAATTCGAACTTGATCTATAACTTGTCATGATAAAACTATATATACCAAATATCAAATCAATATCTTCAAGAACGAAGAAAAAAAGTGTGGAAAGCCGATTTGCCAGACTGACGGATGGACAGACGGACAGACTGACGGAGTGCAAACCTAAAGTCCCCTTCGACTTCGTCGGTAGGGGACTAATAAGCAGGATCCGGGATCAGACCCTTTTTAAACATTACTCTTTGAAAATCTTTATGCACAGTACATTGTTTAAACAGGGCTCCAGATAGCTTTAACTGGTTTGAAAGAGTTGTTTAATTTTAGAACTTTTCCAGATTGGAATAAATAGCGATAAGGTGTATTCTGTCCTTGTTTATGACCATCACTAAATGTAACTCATATAAACCGGTTTCTAAACGACATACAAAATGTAAGCAACATGACAGGTACCACTGCCCCTAGTGCAGTGGCAACTTCTTTCACTTCAATACTTATTTTAGGTTGAATTTGTGTTGCTCAATATTTGAGTTTTTTGTGTAGTTTTGTGGACTGCTGTTAGGCAGGGAAAGTATATACTAGAAATTAGTTAATATAGAAAGTCCCTGTGTTAGGCAGAGACATAAATACACATATATATCAGGGGCATAGCTAGACTGAAATGATGTGCATGCCGATCTACCTGAAAAAAAATTTTGGACCATTTTATGCAGAAAAGGATATTTTTTTCAGTTTTCAGTCATACATGTAGGAGGGTTTAAAGAGGTGCTACATACTGAGGACTTATAGACAATTCATGAATGCAAAACTGTTCAAATTCTTTTCAATAGGGTAAATCATGGTAAATTGATTACATAAGCAACACATTTTTGTGAGACAGAATTTACTCAAAATTGTCCAAAATCTGCTCTTCGGATCTTAGCAGAAACGAACTTCTCCATTACTTTGTCAATATTCACACTGAAATCCCCTTGAAAATGCATTAATGGTAGCAATGATAACCTATCGTTATTCATGGTTGATGGTACATATGTTTTCAACCGACGTAGTACACTGAACGATCTCTCCGCGGTAGCACTTGTTACCGGAATTGTCAACATAATACTCAAAACAGATTCATTGCTTCGTTCAGCTCGTAACAACTCAATTTATATAACAGTTCTACATTCTTTTGCAGCCTCCAACATATCACATTCAATACCTTGCAGGTATTTCCACAGATACACCGTACTCTGTAAAATGTGCCCAGAAACTACAAGAGCTATAATAAATTCAAATCTTCAATTCTTGTTATAGATGCAAGGTACTGTCCGGCTTTGTCATCTCCATGATCTCGCAATCAATCGTTCCAACACATGAACCACAACCGGAAACGATGTTTTAAATGTGTAAAGCGCGGCGGCTTGACTCGTTCATCTTTATTTAATGACATTTCATCAATTAAAAAAGCAACATATATGTGTTTCCTTTTAACATTTTATTCATTTTTTTTTGGGCCCTTTTTTCAGCATGCCGATGTGCACGCAACTGCGTGTTGTCGTATAGGGAGCTACGCGCCTGTATAATATATATGTGTGTATATATGTCTCTGTGTTATGCTTTTCGCCTTTTTGTAATGAATCTGTCTTGGAATTTTGCCAGCATGGTTTATGACTGACACTTTAGTATATATCTTTTAACTTTTTTGCAGCAAATATGTTTACATAAAACAAATTCGAATTAAGTATAAACAAAAGTTACTGTAGTGTTTAGGGATTTCGGTCACTACGATCGGCAATTTGCATTACCGGAAGTCTCTATAGTAAGTAAGATACGAACACGGTTGCAGAAAGTTGTTTGCGACAGAGCTTACCTTGCCTATCAAATGGAATGACTCGACATATTTGAGTTTCTACATTACATCTATATACAGCCCCGCCTCTTATAATTCCAGGTTGTAGATTTGTTTGTGCCTCTGGAGCTCCAACTAACATCCTGAAAAATAAATGCCATGTAAATAAAACGTTTGCCCCAACAGGTGGCTGTTGCTATGACTAATCGTCTACTAGTTGTGTTTTTCTGTCCTTGCAGTCTATTTGTACTGAAGCTAAAGTTGTTATTTGATCGAGGGTTACATTCAAATGCTTATTCTTTTTCTGCAAACAGGGGTAGATTTTCAGAAAAATAGCACAACCCAAACACATATGTGCTTGTGTACAGGAGTCGGATATTGTTTGTTTTTTTTGTAACGTTTGCACTAAATTTTATTTATTTTATTTTACCACATACTCAACATTTTATGCTTGTCTCACCTTGTTTTGGGTGAATTCATCATCTCTGATACAATCCCCATTTTATTATGAATACTAACAACTGACTACCGTACTCAATATAGAATTAGGCTGAGATATTAATCTCAGAAGCCGGATACTGACATAATGATGATCTTTAACAAACCAATAGTTAAAAAATGTAAACAGTGACCATTTGGGAATTTTACTTTTCAATGGGGATTTACACGACCTTGGCTTTCAAGACTTGGCATTTATGATGAATCATGCATGATTCTTTCTTGCAAGAGCAAATCTATCTATTTTCGCAAATTTACATGTAAACAAAAGGATAAAATAAATATTTTATGTACATTTATAATCATAATTACAAGTGTAGTTTAAAAAGAATGCAAAGGAAAAGAGGCAACTAAAGCGATAGGTATGTCCTTATAGAGGGGGAGACACGCGGGTGCTCATTTCCCGAAACCCGCTTTTTTGTAATTTTTCCCACTTTCCACTTTTTTTTTCTTTTTTCCAGATCCACTTGTTTACCCCCTATATTCCACACCCTCACTCTTTTCATCCCCTCGTCCTAATGCGTGTCATTCCCCTTTATTTAGATACACAAAGAAAACGAAAGCACGAAGAATTGCCAGTTGACCTTACAGTTTCAGTATATTCGATAAGTGTCAATCTGCCCGATAGAGCCGACTTACGTTGAATTTGACCTTTATTGAATGTAATTCCTTTTTGTCATGTTTTACAATTTTCAGACTTTTCTTTCTTTCATATACATATAAACATGATGCACATGAAGTACTGTTGGTGATGTGTTTATCTTTTTATTTGCTTTGGTTTGGTTGGTTAAAAGGCTATGATTTTATAACAGTGAGGAATAGAGTAAGTCACTGTTTCTTACGACAATTGTCTTGGTCTTGAACTATTTTTACAGCATTACGTGTTATACATGTCATGTAATTGTCTTATAAAACCGTGCCGTGAAAAAACAGTTTCACCGATATAAAAAAATACTATAGCATAATATATCATATTAATTCATTTCTATCGGACTTTTCGTATTTCTTGAATATGACAGAGACATGTAAAGTACATCTCTTATACTGGTGGTAGTTATACATGTATTACAAAGTGTCATTCACTATGCGAGGTTTGCCGCCAGAAAGCCAATAACTCAAAATACTAGTAATCTGGGAATGAAATCAAGAAGATGTCACCCCAGTTTTTGGTGGGGTTCGTGTTGCTCAGTCTTTAGTTTTCTATGTTGTGTTTTGTGTACTGTTGTTTGTCTGTTCGTCTTTTTCTTTTTTAGCCATGGCGTTGTCATTTTAGTTTCGACTTATATAGATGAGTTTGAAAGTCCCTTTGGTATCTTTCGCCTCTCTTTTACCAAACTCATGTATATATACAAAAGTACAAACGCAAACAATATACCAAATTATATTGCATATGTATTTTCTATTTCGCCGTAAATCTTTGAATATCATTTTATCGGTATAAGTATTGATTTTGTCACAACATAAATTAAAACACAAACTAAATATTATTGCTAGACACCTATACACATTCACGGTCCTACTCTCTATCGATACTTATATTTTGGCATTGCACAAACTCAAGTTTTTCTCCGACTGTAATGACGTCTTTACACTAAATCGATTGGATGTTGGAAGAGTACTGATTAATATTTAGTCTTAGATACAAGATTTTTTATTGGTTGTTATTGGCTTTGAACTAGCTGTACATTGTGTCTTTAGTAGTTTTGTTAATTGTTTTGTTTTTTTTTCTCTTTTTTTGTTTGTTTGTATCAATCTAATGAATTACTAGTAAATATAAAAATAAGAAGATGTGGTATAATTACCAACGAGACGACTCTCCACAAGAGACCAAATGACACAGAAATAAACAACTATAGGTCACATCCAACAATAAACAAAACCCATACCGCATACTAGTAAGCCTTTTTAACTGGTTTTTACAGTTTGTTCTTATCTTGTGCTGTTAGATCACTGTCCCAGATTAGGGGGGGGGGGGGCCCGCAGACATGTTTAACCCTGCCACATTCTGTACCAAGTCAGGAGCCTGTAATTTAGTGCTTGTCGTTTGTTGATGTATCAGATCATGCAGATTAGTTCTTTCGTTTATTCAGGTATTTGATTTTCTCGTTTGAATTGTTTTACATTTGTCATTTCAGAGCCTTTTATAGCTTGCTATGTGGAATAGATTTTGCTCATTGTTGAAGGCCGTACGGTTACCTATAGTTGCTAACTTCTGTGTCATTTCAATGATTTGGTCTCTGGTGGAGAGCTATCCCATTGGCAACCATACCACATCTTCTTATTTTTATATAGGGGGACATTTTTGCTGCGAACTGTTACTATGCAATGTTGCACATTGAATATACAGCTATGCGTGTTAGTCTAGTACAAAGTACGGTGTCTCATATTACTATAATCTACATGTACCTTCATTTATATATCCCGTTGGACGTAAGAAGACATTGTGTCATTGGGTTACCTTTATTTGACGTACTGTAGTGTAAATATACCCAACATTTCCCCTTACCAACTATGTTTACTCAAATAGAGCAACATTTTGCAGTGATGATTTGACTAAAATAATATTGCCTATTTACATGCAGGAGAACGGCAAGAAATCTGGCAGAAAATGATAGAATGATCCCCTTCTTCCAAGTTCTTATATAGTCTGTCTAAACTCCACAATCTCGTCAATGGTTGTAGTGGTATTTTTGTGTTGTATTATTTACTTTTGGTATCATAGATTTGATTCCCTATTTCATGTCTGTATTAACAGATTGTCTACACTCTGAACAATGTAGGACTTGTCAAACCTCACGGGCCTTGTGTATAGTTATAATGGTAAATTCTAGGTGTTTGTTTCAATGAACTTGTGCAGTAGGCCAGTAGGTGTGCTGTTTTTTACTGTCCTTACTACACATCTCTTTTGTCGCTGTTTTATTTTTGCAAATCGACACATCATGTTCGTTTGCTTTTTTTTCTAGTTTATAACATAGTTAAGATATTTCAATAACATGCCGATAACTGTAACCCTGTATTTTTACAGTAGCTACATTATAGAAGTCACCTAAGGTCATTCATGTAGATCATATTTTTACTTTGATATGTATATGTGTATGTAGGTAACATTTGCCCAGGTGTTCCACATCTATAAATGTCATATAATTACAAGGGTCACTTATCAAACAAAACATAATCCCCGTTTATAACTATAATTAATAAAGAACTAAGATTATGTAATGATACCACTTCCTTTTCCCCTTTGATTTATCGTCAAGAAAACTTAATCCAAGATGTTTCAAAAACCGTGTAACATAAAATTTTGAAGTAACCTTACATGGATGGTGGCTTTTGATGAATTTTTCAATAAAACGTTTAAAATTTGACAGTTTTGGTGACTCACAGTACACTATACATGATACAATGTGAGACCAATGTACTTTCGGTTTATTTCCGGTTGAACCAAGACTAGTGTGTTTTAACAATGTGTTTGAGACCTGTATTGGTAACTTATTGACCATATATGCTCTTTTAGTGACGAAAAACCACAAAACCATACAACAAAGGTTGTATTGTGATTATACCGATATTATCGAATTATAGCTGGTAATTAAGACTGGCATCAACCATATTCCAGTATGACATGTAAACACGACCCGGAGATCCATCCATCAAATTTGACGTAATTGCGTTTAACAGTTCATCAATACACGTAATGTTTATCTTATTACTGTGTTCTCAGGCTGAACTATATTTAAAATTTTTAACTATTTCCTAGAAAAGATGTTTACATGGTTTCAAATTACCTGCTTTCTGATGATTCAAGCTATATGCAACATCTTATACGCAATTTATTGTCATGACCTTGTGTATTAAAAAACGACATCATCATACGTAAATATTGTCGGATCATTTGCATGGATCATTTAAACTTGAAATAAGGGTCTGGAGAAAATTTTAGCCTTTTTTGTTGTTAAATTCAAGTTCTAAAATATGATTATATTTGTGCATGCTTATTCCCCAGTTGTATGTCAAATCCCTTAGACAACGCTTGGGCGTTCACAAATAAATTACTTTTTCCGGTCAAATTATCCTATGGAGGTCATTATGTCCTGTCAAGGGCCTGCAGTCACCGTCGTCATATATTTGTTTGGATTATATCATATATGTAAACATAGGAGGGATCACATAAACTTCCTTGAGCCTGTCAAGTTCATATCATAAAAGCCTAATGTATTTTGGTGAACAACTTATTATGATCAGTTTCCAAACAAATTGATGCAAAACCATGGCTATCACGTTATCGTGCAAAAAAAAAAGAAAAAGGAAATACAACCTCCTATTTACCCTTAATGTGTTATTATAAAATAACAACATTGATATTGTGCCGAATGGTGGGGTAGACTTAGTTTTATTTCCAACTACAGCAGCATAATGTAGAGTTTCAAATGCACGATTGCAAAGTTTTGGGAATGCATTTTTACATTCTTTTGATGTATATCCAGACGGTCATTCGGTTAAAGCTTGCATTGAATTATTACTTTAATTATTCATCCATCAATAAATGATAGGTTACAATCATTACTTATCTATGCATGGACAATATCTGGAGGCTATCGTGTATCACGTTGTAGGAAAGAAACTGTTAAACATAACAAAATCAAAACAGACATATCGACCTTACAAAAATAGTTTGATGTTTATTTTGTTTAAATAGCCGTTCCTAAATAATGTAAATATCTAGCGAACACGTTTTTGACTATTATTTTGCATTGATATATAATCGTGTACTTTTGTTTGTATAGTATATGTAAGATTTAGCAAAAGCGATTAGACGGCACATAACAACGAAGTGAATGGAGATGCTGTGTCATTTCAATAAATTTAATGGTTAGAAGAACTTGAAGAATGGGTCCTTAGTACACCAACAATGTGATCCGTGAATATATATCTAGAGTCACTTAATGATCTATTAATCCGATCACCTGCTGATCGCATTGGGATTCACCATACGCTTTTTAAGCCAAGTTTACATCACACAGATAACACATGTTTGATGAGAGATAATTGTAAAATAATATACAGAAAACATGTGTAGCGTTTAACCTCGACAGTCTTCCCCTCAGATCATCGTCATGTACTGATTTAATAAAAATGTTCATACTATATTTTTATCTTGTTTATTTTACTATACGTGTACTTGCAGCAACCTCTTAAATTCCTTATTTGTTTATCTTATAAGTTTTATTGTAATTATAATATTAACAATGTTACTGTTTCATTAGAGATACCGTCTCTAAATATTATCTCTTCAGTAGGTAATTGATTCTCGTAACTGTGGCAAACCTTTTTTTCGAGAACTTAAAGAATTTCTGAAAACTTACCATCCTGTATTTTGGTCGAGATGTTGAGCTACTGAGAATCCGAACATACTCCCAGTTTCACCTCTCTGAATAATAGCGTTCTTTAAATCCAAATTAAAGGCACTAGTTATAGGAATTGCATATCCAAAAATATACACAAACAAAACTATCACAGAAACATCGAAAAAACTATTTTTGCCGCAACTACACTTTGATAAAAATACCTTATCCATTTTAAGACGAAATAAATAACTAGTTAATTTCATATTTGTAAAACCAAGTGATCACTTTATCCAAAGTTGTTTTGTGAGAAGAAGTATTTAATTTCACACATATAATAATTTCATCGTTTTCTACACACTAAACAACAACTTCCTACGGTATCGTATGTGTATGTAAGATATTGGCATTTGTAAGAGTGATCCATTACTGCCTTCAGGGGGCGATCAGGTTAAAGTGATGCACGTCGGACGAGTTTATTGCCCCGTGTGTGTAAAGATCCTTATATAGAAATTGGCCTGACTCATTCATAAAATCATTTAAAAAAAGCTCCCGCTGTTGTTTGAATTAGTTTGTAAGAGGAAATTTTATACTTGATGTGGAATTCAGTCTCCTTGTAAATGACCAGCAGGAAATTACACGTGTGACCTAGATTAAAGATTTATGGAGACGGTCGACCATTATAATTAATTGAATGTTACCCAACCCAGGAACATATATATTGTTAGATTTACTGTTCCCAGCCCAACCTAATAACAGACATAAGACATATATTATGGACATTTTGGAAAGGCACAACGAGGATTGACACAACATATTTAATTGATTTAATGGGTTTTTTGTTTTGTTTTGTTTCTTTTTGGTCAGATTTACAGAGCTGTCATTTTTCTTTAGTTACTGACAAGGACGAGTTTCTTTATAATTATCCCTGTGAACGGTACCAAACGATGCCTTAAAAATAAATAATATGAATAATACTCCAAACGTACATAAGCAGAAAATTTGAATATTTGTTATATTTGATTCCCCTTTAAAGTACACTGAATATAGAGGTAAACAGTAAGTGTTTTTTATGTAGTTAAAAGGAAGTTCGTAAAATAGTTATTCGTGTAAATTTAACGCCGACGGGAAGATATAAAGGATTGCTGAAAACCTCGTTAGATGATTACGTATTTCATAACAATTAACTCCTTTTATTTTGACAGATCCACTAATATCAATCACTTGGAAGATGCAGTCGATGGAAAAATATTATGAACACCAAATGCCTTAGTTTACATAAATAACAAGTGTCCGCCAGATAAATATCCATATATATTTTAAGATTTTTTTGTTTTGAACACTGAGAGTTTTTACTATCAAATGCCATGTTTTTAAAACAAAAATCCGTTTTATTGAAATTTTGACATTATATCACGTATGTTCTGGTACAAATAATTAGCCATGGTAAATTTTGTAATTTGACAAACTACGGAATTTCGGAATTTGTAAATTGGAATTAGATTAGTCAAAAGTATGAATTTAATAATTAATTGGAGGGCTTTCAAACGACCTTCTATTCCAAAATAGCGATGGAGATACCATAAACTAGGCTGTCGGTTTTCGAGTTTGAATTGTTTCACATTTTGTCATGCCGGGGCCTTTTATAGCATACAGTTTACGGTATGGGTATTGTTCATTGTTGAAGGTCGTAAGTTGATCAACCTATATTTATTTACATCCTCGTCCTTTGGTCGCTATTGGATAGTTGTCTCATTGGCAATCATACCACTTCTCCTTATTTTTATATTTATACAACATAAGTGAACAAATTGATGAGAGACTTAGTAACCCTATATAATCCTTTTACAGTAGTCTTTGAAATAGTACTGAGTTGAAACATACAAGCTCGTTTCAATTTCGATGCCAGCCGGTAATTAGTTGTTACTGATTTGAATGACCATATTTAAGGATTTCTTTTTAATCATCTAAACAATACTAATTTATAGACTGGATATGATCATGGAAGTATCATACTGACAATATAATACTCCCATGATACGATCTATTGTGTAGACGTCACTCTCTCTGTTATTTATGTTTGTATGTTGTGTTTAGACATGTCTTTTGGTTATTTCATTCGTTTGGATGCTGTGTCATTGACTTGGCCTATGAAGTTCTACCTTTTTGTTCATTTTCTGTCAATTTTATAAAATACATGTATGCACTCTTAATCTACATAAAATGAATAAATAAAGTCTTTAAAGCCCACAAATATAGATTCATTTAATCGATGGTTCTTAATGGAGGTATATTTTACATGAATCATTTCCCCATAAATTCATTCTTCTGTATTTTCTTTTCTCAATGAAAGTCATAACGGAAATAACATGTATAATAGAAATATCGCCTTTATTTTCACAACGCCTAAAAGTTATCTCCATAAACAAACAAATTACAATACAAACGTACTATAAGAGGGCATTAAATTATTCAAGTGTGTACTGAACATCACCACTAAGGTAATTCGTAGATACATGTGTAGGCTCTTATTTATATAATTCGTCTCAAATTCAGCCCAACAATGTTAGATCTGTAAATTTGCGTTCGCAACTCCACCTCTGTCCAGCGTCCTAGACCACTCGACCAACAAGGCTATATATATATATATCAAGCACCCTAGGTCGAGTGGCTGGACACAGTGCAGGCATGGGTCGAGTGGTCTAGGGCGCTGGACACAGTGCAGGCCGAAGTTCCACGATGCCACAGAAGCAAGCATTCGAATCCCGCTGAGAGAGGAACAAAAATTTGCGAACGCAAATTTACAGATCTAACATTGTTATGCTGAATTTGAGACGAATTATCTATATTATATTATGGTGTTAGCCCCGTATAACCAAGGGTCATCCGATGGAGAATGTATGTTATAAAGTTGTGACATGTTTAGGCGTATACGCCTAAAAAGTGTACAAAACAACACCAATATTAAAAAATATAAATATAAGTATCTATATAAAAAATTCAGATAACAGATATCCTTCATCGGTATGATTATGATGTTGTAAAATGAATCATATCAATCTATTCTGATTTGACTTTAACAATCTTTACAGTTATACAATTTAAAACCGAACAACGCTTGTATAAAAATGACGTAGGTTAAGTATTTACAATAGATATGCTTCGAAATATTTATATTGAAAACCACTTTTTTTTCAAGCAACGAAGGACAACTCCGAATAATTTTTTTCAACTATATTATTATTGTATAGGATTGATAGACACATGTACAAAAAGCTGATACACGGAAACAAAAATGAGTTTCCAATAACGACTGTAAAGAATTAAACTGCAAGATAAAATCAAATTGCATCATATGTTCTTTTTTTACCTCTCCCAATCACAAAAAGAGTACCATCCTGCAAAAAAGGAGAAATCAAATAAACTCATGAACTAAATACAATAGAATGCGCGTTTTATCTAAATGAAATATCTTTATTTTTGCACAAGTTCAAATATTTCCTATTCCTGCCTATTTCATCATTACTTGCACTATTGGAGCAATTAGCAACCACATGCTATCATCTGTCTTATGTGTAGTGACATGAGTGAAACGATTGTCTAAGGTTTTGTCACTAGTATATTCCCTGGTGCTAAATGAGGCAACCTTATATGAAGGAAACATCAAATACCCACCTTTCACAATTCATATATGACCAATAGGAAAGGCTGAAAATATTTAAACTTTGCCCACGGGGGTCACATCAAACAAATTTGGGTATAGGCATCCAGCTGGGGTTTGAAAACCACCCCATTCATATGTTAATTTATGCGAAAATCCTTACCCATTCATATATTTCATAGGAAAATCACAACCCTATTATATATTTACCAGCTATCATGACATCTTATTTAGACGTTAACCACATGGGATCATTCCATTTATTAGATGAATAGATCAGAACACAGTTTTAAAAGACATCTTAAGAGAAGATGAACATGTATGACCCACTGACATATAAATGTCTACCCATTGGTATATTACCTCCGTGAAATAGCACCCCATTAATTTATTTGACATTCCAAGAAAGCGACCCATATCAGCGGTACGTCTGTGTACACCTTTATATTTCTTCAAATTTTAGTTCCAAAGATATTGCAAAGAACGGCAATAATTGTAAAAAAAAATGACATTTAGATGTAGGAACTTCGTAAAATACACAATGAGTTTTTATTGTATGTCTGTATAAACAGTTACAAATATATACATACATATTATATTTACCTTTATATATACTGGTACAGCAACCCAAAAGTCATGATTTGGTATAACTCGTTTACCTGATTCTTTACGCATAAATATTTGAACGAGTATTCCGATAATTATGTACAGAAACAATAAAGATGCAAACCTACAAATAAACAAACACACAAACAATAGAGTAGAACGCATGAGTTTAAGTTCTATTACGACTGAAAAGGACACAAAAGCAATAATGTCTTTATGCAGCACATACAAATTACGATTTTCATATTCTTAGTATACTTTGGACCTGCATATGTATTCGTAAAGTGACCCGACAATTCAAAATCAGGGTTAATTTTAGCGTGCTTAAACTTGATTTAACCCGCTTCCCCATCGAATCATTATAGAACACCCATTTTTTTCCAATTATTTCAGTCATTAAGCCGAAGACGACATTGATAAAGACACATTAAAAACGTTCGTTTCAAAAATGTTTATTACCCTCTGTTTTTTCTGCGCCTGACAATAATGTAGAGTTGTACATAAATATTCTAAAACACATGTTTCCCTATTTGTATCCCAACTGTATGTTTACTAAGGACTTACCCTATACATAGTATAGAGCCTATAGATAATCCGGATGGTTCACAGACGTATTTGGACTTCAACTGGAACAACTGAAAAGGGAAATTTTGCATAATTCTGCCATAAACTCTATATCATGGTCCCTTTAGGGCGTAAATTATAGAAGTTGCCGCAAACATCTGAAAATACAATACTATATAAATTCTAAGCCACTACAATCTCTTGCCGAACTTTATCCTCAAAATAAATAGATCAAGCCTCATAAACTGTAAGACGCATCGCCAGACACACCCGAATCCTTATAAACTGTAAGACACACCTAGCCTCATAAACTGTAAGACACACCAGGCCTTATAAACTGTAAGGCACACAAGGTCGCATAATCTGTAAGGCATACTTAGACTAATGAACTGTAAGGAACACCAGGCCTTATGAACAGTAAGACACACCAGGCCGTATGAACTGTAAGGCACAACAAGCATCATTAACTGTAAGGCACACAAGGTCACATAATCTGTAACGAACACCAGGTCTCATAATCTGTAAAAATCTAAAGGCCTCATAAACTGTGAGACACTAAAGGCTTCATAAACTGTAAGACAATAAAGGCTTCATAAACTGTCAGCACACTGACTGATTGACTTGAAAGCATAGCAAGCTTCATAGACTGTAAGACACACCAGGCCTTATACAATGTAAAGAACACCAGACCTTACAAACTTTCATGAAGGTACAACAAGCCTTATTAACTGTAAGACACTCCAGGCCTCATAAACTGTTAGGCACACCAAGCCTCCTTAACTGTAATGCACCGAAGGCTTCATAAACTGTAAGCACACCAGATCTCATAAACTGAATGGCACACAAGGCCCCACAGACTGTAAGACCCACCAGACTTAATAAACTAAAGCCATGGATGCCTCATTAACTCTAAGGCACACCATGTTCCATAAACTGTTATAAACAAAGCCTAATACACTGTAAAGTACACAAGGTCTCATAAACTGTAAGACACTATAGGTCCCATAAACTGTAAGACACTAAAGGCCTCATAAACTGTAAGACAATAAGGCCTCATAAACCTTAACACACTAAAGGTCCCATAAACTGTGAGACACTAGAGGCCTCATAAACTGTAAGACACTAAAGGTCTCATAAACTATAAGACACTAAAGGCCACAAAAACTGTAAGGCACACCAGACCTTATAAACTGCATAAAGGCACACCAAGCCTCATAAACTGTTAAGTATTTATAAACTATATCATATAAAAAACAAGACATTTACATATATTTATACTTAAAAACCCGAGAGGCATATTTTCCAGCCATTTATTTTTCTTCAAATGTCTATATATTTCAAGAGCCAACATATTCTGACCTATCTTTATATTATGAATGTTTAAATTATCATATACAATTTTGATGCTTAATGCATTATACAATGAAAAAGACATCTCTGTAGAAAATATTGCTCTTTTCGGTAGCAAATATCCTTATTTGAAGTATAAAATTACATTAATATATAGTATATACTATAATACATTTTATAATAGGTATATGATGCTGGTTGGTAGTATTGCAAGTTTTGTTTGTCGTAATCTAGCGTCAATGAGCGTAATCTATGTATTATAGGGATTTAATCTGTCGATACCTATATTTTGGCATTGCACAAGGTCATGTCTTTCTCTGACTGTTAATGACGTCTTTACACGAAATGCATTGGATGTTGAATGTGTACTGATTGATATTTTAGTCTTCGATACATGATTTTTTTATTAGTTGTATTTGGCTTTGAACTAGCTGTCATAATTTACTTTGTGTCTTTTTTGTTGTGGGATGTATAGATACGCTGCCACGTCCGGTCTATGTTTTCGTTAGATGTTTTCTGCCTTATAAAGATCTAATCAGTTAATCCCTTTTTTATCTGATGTTTATAGTTTGTTCTTATGTTGTACTGTTATACCACTGCCCAAGGTTAGGGGGAGGGTTTGGCGCCAGCAAACTAGTTTAGTCGGGACATTTTATAGCCGACTATACAGTATGTTTTTTCTCTCAATGTTGAAGGCTGTACGGTTGCCTATAATTGCTAACATCCATTTCATTTGAACTTTGGTGGACTGTTGTCTCATTGGCAATCATACCACATCTCCTTATGTTTATATTATGTCAACGAAGTGCAACATGGACTTATCAAATGTACGAAACCACTGGACTTGGCTGTATACAAATCAGCGCGTGTGCTTGTGTGTCAAGTTGTGCCCTACAAGTAGTAAGTAGCCTCGTATGCATTTCACTCTGAACACATTTGAGTCTTGCCAATTATCTTATCATAAAACTTTAACTTGCATGATTGGAGCCCTAGTGGAACAAGAAATGTTTACCCTTCTGGAACACATGAGCCAGTCTCTCCCTTTTTTGGTAGGATTTGTGTTGCTTAATCTTAAATTTTTAAAATGCACCTTGTATTTTTATGATGTTTATACACATTAAGATACATTTATTTGCATATTTTAACCTGTCATTTTTTTCTCTTTTTCAGTGCAGTTACGTTGCGCAGTAAAGCTACCCAGTCAGTCGATTGGTTACCTACAATTGATTAACAAATGTAACCTCGGGTGTTTTACAACCGCAAATAATTTGTCGTATTAATTGAGGACACCGTGATACATAAACAAAAATATCTGCTAGGCATATCTTGTTCTACAAAATTAACGAGAAAAGATAAATGCACTTACAAAAGTTCCTGTCGGAGGAATGTCCTGTCCAAGTGAAGTAAAGTCTCCGTGTACTGATTTATCACATATCAGATTGATTACGGCCTTTCTGCAAAATATGATACCGATATAATTGGTGCGTGCAGATATTTGTGGAAAGGATCTGTCAGTGATCTTTTGGTTTGTTTCGTTGGGTTGCTGTGTCATTGAGTCGTATACCCACATCTTCCTTTTATTCATATGTACATACACGCTTTTTTATTTTTCAATTTCCAATAATAATGCATACTGTATGAAAAAGAACGAGAAGGGGTTGGTTGTGTAGCTAAAATATATATGTTAAAACCAGATTCATGACCGTTCATTGGATTGGATGTACCGTGACATGAACAAACTAGATCCAACAAAAAAATTGCAGTACTAAAATATCGTAGCAAAATAAAACCGTCAGTGTTTCAGCAACAATGATGTAGTGAGTATTTTTAACTTTGGCCTAGCAGATAAGAATAGACCATTTTTAAATTACGAACTTATTTTCCAATTTTTTTTTTTTTTTTTTTGCACTAGTGGAAACAAATTCTAGGTAGAACAGACGCAGTTTCCCTGTTATAAGAACGGATAGAGCATGATGCTATTTGTGATTTATGTTCGACCGTTTAGTGACGGGTACCACTATTTATTTATTATTTAATTGTACATTTTTTTAATAGTGCGAGGGAAACACATTACCTCGTTACTTTAGTACAAAACTAAATAATTTGAAAATTTAAAGTCGTTCAATTCCGAAATTGTATTCTTCTTATTTTAAAGTAGCAAAGGTTTATTAGTTGTAAATGAACAAGATGTTATACAATCTATACGATATGATGCCTTTATTACGGTAACTTACTGTTCGGCGTTTTGTGTATCACTGTAAGATATTTTCAATTGATCTCCATCGTATGAGAATTCTGCGCTGTCTTGTGTGCCTAATGGTATGTATTGGAATATTGGCCCAGATATTACTTCGTGACAGACCTGAAAAAGACGTATTATATATATCATGTTAGGGGATAACCGCAGTTAACTATATGACAAGGGGAGGGGTAATTGGCGGCTGTTCAAGTAAGTTTAAACAAGTTCTATTTTGTCAATTTTGCCATTTGCATGTTCGTTCATTTGAATGATATAACACCATTTTTTTTTCATTCACTATTTGTCGCTGGAAGTTATGCAGCCATGCATAAACCAACACACATTACATATTATATGTTTTTTAAGTAACTAGTAATAAAGAAATATTTAAAATATATTTGATATGAATATTAAATGTAAGGTGATCTATATTTGCTACATATCAAAATGAATAAGCAAACAAGATATATAAATGTAAAACACATACAAAAATTCTTCTGAAGTCTTGCCCAGAATGTTAGATCTGGTTATTGCTGTAACAAAGTTTTGTCCTTCCCTCGGCTAGATTTAAACCAATGCTTTTGTGACATCGTATATATCAATATATCAACCAGAAAATATATCAACTACCATTTATTTTGTCATTTATAAAATAATTTTTGTTTAAGAAGAGCAGGTGAGACATCCGGTAACCCACCTTTTCCATATATTTTGTATAACAAAAGACCATGCCCTATCATATATATTTATTGACAAAAATTACTCCTATAGCTATCATGATATATCGCTATTTCATGGAGATATAAATAGTTTTGAAAGTATCCTATGCATTTACGACTGTTGTTTTGAACAAACTCTGATATAAAGCATGATGGCCATCAGCTATATTCTGTTCTCTAAAGACACAATCCTCCGTTTCATTCATTTGGTAAGTAACACAGACAATCCATAACGGTCAACCAACTCATGATGTCGCCCGTAAATCTTTCAAATGGATGACTTCAACTTTACCACTGTGAACTATTGGTCCAAGAGATTTCTTGTAAGGAACAACCTTCAATCTTTGGTACCAGGAAAGCATCGATGACTGTATCAACTTTCGCAATCTGGGAAATCTTGGTTCAATAGATTCCTTGTAAACAGCAACCTTCTATAAAAGCATCGGTGACTATCAACTTTCCCAATCTGGGAACTCTTGGTTCAATAGATTCCTTGTAAGCAGCAACCTTCTTTCTTCGGTACCAGGAAAGCATCGGTAGCTGTATCAATTTTCCTCAAATCTGTTCACAGTATAAAAGTGTTGTTTTGGTTTAGGTTCCAAAAAGTAAGACCAAATGCATCCACTATAGCTATAGGTTCAATAACATAATTTTCTAACATGTAGTCAATTTCCTTTTTCCAAAAGTCAGCTTTCATAGAATTAATACGATCCTGATGTTGTGTCATCGAAGTTGCCTCATTGCCATTTACAAAATGAAAACTTTGGGGAAAAAGGGAAATAAACTTTGCTAATCATTGTTTTAAGCTCTCTTTGCTGGGCTTTATTTAACTGACCATAACAAGTTTATGATCCAAATTGGCAAGTTCATCTCAATATTCAAACCATCAATTTGTACATTTTGATTGCCAAAACGTAAGGGAGAGACAAATGTTGGCCCCCCTCATTATTCTTTGTCTTACATATTTATGTATGTGGATCAACTGCTTTCTATCTTTTCGCCGAGCTAGCGTTTTGACAATGAAGTCTAGAATGTTACTTACCTCGAACTATTATTTCACATTAACCAACCTTCTTGGCCCGTGTCTGATTGATAAATTTTCATTTTTTTTCTATTTCACATTTTATTAGAGGATTGAATTTAGACAGTCTTTACAACGAACACCCATCGTTTGAAGGAACAAATAAAGTCTGAAAAAACAATCAAACTTTCTTTCAATCGGATGAAAAACATGGTCGTATGTGAGATTTTAAATTATGATCTATTAACTTTGAATTCTCTTCTCTTCTGAAACAAGAACACTAAATCTTTAAACACTACATAGGGAGATGATTATGACCCAGACTTTTTCAAAGAGTAATATTTTTGTAGTAATTGTATGGCATAAATGATGTCAAAACAAAAACCAAATAATCTTACACCTTAAAGGAAAGATCATTAAGAGACCTTTGACCATTTTTGGGGAGTTGATTGAATGGTATACATTCCAGCAACGACGCCACATAAGTTACCATTGAACTATAGGTGTCAGACAACAAATTCAAAACCCCTATATAATCAACCAAATTTTTTAATGTTCACACCTTTCAAAATATTTTACCTTAAGTTTAACTCTATAGAAACCATGTATATCCTGAATTGTACATGCAACGCTTTTCTATATGCCAATTTTCAACCAATGTTTAAAGTCTTATAGTGAAACACGACCTTTCGGAAGTCAAATACTGGTGAAAAATAACCCCTGGTTTCTGGAAATCTTAAATAAGTATACTATGGAGCGCATTCATCCTCAATCATTAATGCAAAATCATAGACAAGTAAATTTCGGTTCAAAATGGTCTAAATATATTTTTCTTTCACCAAAAGTTTCATTTCTGCATATTTGTTAGTTAGTTTAAGTAAACAAAGACACACTTTTTTGTCAGAGTAGGGCTACTTTTACATATATTCTAAATTGTAGTGGGTGAATCGGTTGTCTGACACCTATACGAGAAACACATCGCATCAACCTTTCTGAAACTTTATTGGTAAATACTAATCTGAATTAAAAATGGCAAAACTATAGCGCATGAAAAGACAGTTCTCCCTTTTTTTTCTATCAACAAGTTCAAATCATTTCAAATTTCACAGGGGTACTTCTGACCAGAATCGTCATTAAGTCACTGATTAGGAATCATACTTGTTGGTAGTGAGGGATTCCTTCTATCGAGAATCGTCATTAAGTCATTGATTAGGAATCATACATGCTGACCTATAGTTGCTTAAATTTGGACTTTGGTGGATAGTTGTCTCTTTGACAACCATACCACATCTCTTTACTTTGTAAAAACCAAGAAAAATACAACTGTAAAGAAGAGCAAACTGGGACAGCATAAAAAAAGATATGATTTTTTGTATACTAGAAGTAAAGAAGAAACCATGAACAAAAAGACAAAAATCAATACACTCTGAAATATGTTCAATTAAGGCCTGGAAAGCATTTTAATCAACAGTTACCATCTAAAATATGCAAGGCAAAAAAACATAATACTATAGATATAACACAGGAAAAAACGTATGAGGCGAAGAGACCGAGCCTACAAAAAGAAGAAAAAATAATCAAACCTGCTTCTGATATCAAACGGTTTTAGCAGCTCAATTAAGCAAATCGTCTAAAGAAAAGAAATTTTGGAAATATGTAGAGGACATAATAACTCCAGAAGTAAATTGCAAATTTGAAACCAATCCCATAAATAAAGACATGATAAATTCCGGTCTATCTTCTCCGCTGCGTGTCGTCTCTGTAAGAAAGATTCGAACAAAAAATTCTAATAACAGATCCACCGGAAAAATTACCCAAACAGCCAAAAAATTATCATCACAAATAATGGAGTGGAAAAACACTTAAAAATCTTAATCCACACAAGGTTGCTGATCAAACCGATGATTCTGGAATAACTAGCTAGTGAAACGGCCCCGATTATCACCAGCATTTGCAATCTTTCTATGGAGAAAGGAAAGAAGACTGGCGAACAGCAAGGGTCACAGTGGCATACAAAAGAAGGTAAGATATATATACTAGAAAACTATAGGCCAATATCCCTAACATACATCTGTTGTAAAATAATGGAAGATATAATAGCAAATAACATCATATACCCTCTTCAACATGGCTGCACGAGTAATCATATAAAACACAGCTCGTTGAGCGTATTGACGTTATTACAAAATATCACGAAAACGGAAAACAAACAGATCTACTAATTTTTCTTAAGTTTGACAAAGTGTACCACAGTCTACTACAACATAAACTACGCCATTATGGCGTAAAAGATAAGATAAACCGATTGTTTCTCAAAATCAAAACACAAGATGTAGTGGCCGAATGCGAAACATCTGTGTTCCACAGTCTACTCCAACATAAACTACACCATTATGGCATAAAAGATAAGATAAACAGACAGTTTCTCAAAAACATTTAAACACAAGATGTAATGGCCGAAGGCGAAAATCTCACAAAGTGAAGGTATGATCTTGAGTACCATAAGCATTGGATTATAAAACCCAGTATATTTCTGTTTTAAATAACGATCTACCACAAGGTGTCCACTCAACAGTGAGACTATCTGCGGACGATACCGTAGTCTATTTGACCATTTCCTCAGACAACGACTGCCATAAACTCCAAGAAAACCTTCACAAAAAGGCAAAATGGGAGGAACTTTGAAAATGGAGTTTCATTCTGAAAAATGCAGCGTCCTCACATACTAAAAAAGAAAAGAAAACCCAAATCAAGTGAAATAACAAGATTCATGGCCACACTATGGAGCATGAAACATCAACTAAGTACCTGGGCTGCACCATCGCAAATGATCTAGTTTGGGAGAACACATAATTTGTCACAGATTCACAGGTGAAGCCAGCCGAAACCTTTGTTACCTTCATCGAAACCTCAACATCAGGTCCAAATCCATCTAAGAGCGTGTTTTAATACGTAAGCTATACCACAAATGGAACATGCTACGACAGTATTTGATCCGTTTCAGTAAAACTACATAGATAAAATCGAAAAAATACAAAGACGAGCTGCACAGTCAGCAGACATAGAAATACATCCAGTGTCAGCAACATGATAAATTAACTAGGGCAGAAAAGTTTACAAACGAGTCGTAAAGAAGTACGACTCAGTGGCGGATCCAGAGGGGGGCGTAGAGGGCGTACGCCCCCCCCTTTGCTTGCACTTTTTTTTTTTTTGTAAAATGATTAATCAGACTAGACTTCGTGAACTTTGCCATTTCCCGCGTATTTAATTTTTATGCGACAATTCTTTACTTATAAAGATATGTTTCGCTCGTATTTACTGTAATATATTATTGATTATGTCAAAATCATGTGATTCGATACGGTGGAGTTGACCAGTGCGTCGAAAAAACGTCACTCAGTCATTTTGAAATTCAAATTACAGTAACACATTGCTTAGGCTGAGGATGACAAGCATGACATCTTCAAAGCGGCAAAGGATTGAGCAAGAACGTATTTATTGACTTCTATTTCACAACTCCACCAAACAGAAAGTAATACTCTATTACACTCTCATGAAAAAAAAGTTCCACAGCGATATTATTTACCTACGAAAACATGTTTAACCCCACACGCCCCAGCCTATTAATAACATAGCTGAATAATGATCCCCAGTCAATAAGCTCCAGATAGATTTAAAGTCTAAGGTACGGACCATTTGATTTGAGGGGGCAGTCTGAGATATTTGAGAGAAAAAATTCTGACCCTGATTTTTGCCTTAAACAAAAATTCTGGCCGTATCTGGATTGAAAACAATGATCTTGTCCACTATTTTGTTATTAGAAACAAAAATTCCCAACAGAATTATTTAGCATTAAATGAACATGATGAATAAAAAAACGGGCGTAATTTATTTGGGGCCGGGGGTTTGCATGTAAATCCCATATCTGACCGGAATGTCTGTTTCGTCGAACTGATAAAATGAATACTTTTTTCAAGGCCCGACTGCAACCTGCCTGCGGGGTGTGGCCTTTATGTCTCCATTTGTCGACCGTAATTCATAAATTCGTTGTCATTTCAGACTCATTCGTAGCCTTTGGTTGATTTGGAACCCCTCACTTCCCTTGTTGGGTGAAACATTTCAACCAAACATTTGGATAAAAATTGCTTGTTTGTCTTTCTTAACTCGTGTCGGTCGAATTGTAAATTTCGTTGAATAGCCCGGCGTATATCTTGTTTACAACAAGAAATCCGTGAGGTTATGCTAACTAAACATACAACAAACGAGAATTTTCCATGTCATTTTTTTACTGACAAGTCCCACATCAAATATATTAGTACATAGCTTTGGATCCATCCAATCATTTTATAATAGACAATTAATGGGGAGAATACGGCATCAAAAATGTCCAACCCTTACACTTTTACTATAAAATATACATGCCCCACGTCAGGAACCGTTAAAAAAGTGCATTTTACACTTATTTTATGTTTTTTAGCCAAAGAAAGGTCCAAAAAAATTCTCGCCTCGCTCCGCTCGGCGATCTTTACATACTTCGCCCCCCCTTTCCAAAATCCTGGATCCGCCCCTGCGACTTATCATCTCTTACAATATAACAAACGACCTGGTAGCCATAGACGAGAATAAATACTTACAAAAACCAACGAGAAGCTCCAGTCGTACATGAAATCATACATATACCTATTACAGTCAGCTACAGACGACAGAAGGAAGTGAACCTTCTTCGTAAACAACGTCAGACTGGAGCAAACTGCCTCCGGATATAGCCACAGCCAAGTCACTTGAGATGTTCAAATGACCAACACAACTAAATAATCATATCGTTTTAATCCGTTTTTAATCATGCACATCATGCTAGAATATTCGTATATGGAAGAAAAAAAACATTTTTATTGATGTTTGTTCTAACGTAAAATAGTATATTGGATACTCACTGCCACATTATTACAGTCGTTGAGAGTAAAAGCATTACATGGATTCCAAGCATAAGCATCTCCTGGTCCATTAGGGTCAATTATATCTGCATATCTGTCAAACAATAAGCAAAAAAACCCAAACTTTTATTAGATTGTCATGGTTTAGAACAATCGAAAGTCCAGAATTTGTAAAACATGGTGAATTTTTGCACTGCTAACTAAAAATTATACACAACATATTGACAATAAAATCCAACCTGCAGTACATTCAGCTTGTTTCATTTTATTGTCGAAAAAGAATTACAGAAACCTTACCTTATATCCAGGAGAAAAAAAAGATAAAAGTAGTTTTGGAGAAATCGGGAAGCGAAATGGTTGAAGATGGAAGAATGTATTCAAAATGACATGAGTTTAAGAATGTAGTGATTGGTTGAAGGAAAAAAAGACATCACTTGCATGGAATGAACCTTGTATAGGATATGATTTGTGTCGTACACAGTAACGGTTCTCTGGCTTAAAAACCACATCTTACCGACTAACCAAAATCATTTTAAGACTATAAACCATGTTGCAATGAATAAAAAAAAAACAGACTTACGCAGGGGTTCCATCCTTTTTCGCCAACTGTTTTAAATCAATCAAATGTCCAGAATCGGTAAGACAAGAACATGCTGACTTTTTTGTGCAGCTTTTTGCTAGAACGTTTGAACTACATAGCATTAAAATGATACAAACACCTAAACATCCAAAGGTAAGTTGTAACATTTTAAATAAAGTCAACTTACGCCTAATATCGTCATGTGATTATATTGATAAATGAGATAGGGTTTTGTTACATGATAAAATTTTAATTGTAGATAAAGATCTGAAATGAGGACAAAGGACGTTGAATTAATAAATGTATCATCACGTTTGTTGGATTTCTATATCAATTGAATAATTCTTTCTTAATAATCTTACTGAATTCTTCCAGAGACATATAATACAATTGTATTATATGTCTCTGATTCTTCTAAACAAAATACTATAGGACACTCTAGTAAGCAAGTCCGGATCTTTTTCTAGTTTTTTCCCAATAATGGGCAGAAGTTTAAAATTATGACTTCCGGTTTCTTTAAAAAAAAACACGATGGAAGACCTGAGCACTTTGAAGGTTTTTAGAATAAGTTTCTCCGCAATCATAAACATAATGCATTTTAAAAACATGTCAAAAGTAATCATGGTAACCCCAAGGGCGAGAAACAGAGGAGATGTCATTTTGGGAATATGGTTGAATCAATGGACATTCATTTGATTCAACCATATCATTATCAAGGATTTGTATAGTATATTAGTAAGACTTACTATACAAATCCTTGACCATATCATGGCAGGTGTCAACCGAAAACAGGAGGACATGTTAATGTTTCTACTAGGCTAGCCCATCATATATTGCCAGCAATATACACATTTTTATGTTTGGTAGGCCCAAAGTTATAAATGAGACCCTAATATCAGGCAGCACCTGTGAAAGGAATCCGGGTCCGTTCGCCCTGATTCACGTTCGCCAAGATTCACGTTTGCCCTAGTACCTGTTTGCCCTAATATCTGTTCGCCCAGGGTCCACTCGCCCTGATTTTTTTTTTTTTTTTTTTTTAATTGTTGTCTAGTTGCATAATGTTTATTATTTGAACAGAGTATGTTAAAGTTTGTTGAAAAATTCGCAGAATATTTGTATTGCTGCAACCAGATAATTATTTTCCTTTGATTTGCATAGTAGAATACTGGAATACAATGTATTTATCTTTATTGATATTTGTTAACGATTTTAATCATTCTAGTCAGTCAATTTATGCAGTATGATAATAAATGAATTCATAAATCCTTTCCCTGTTTTACAATTGGTACATCATTGTTTTTACTCATTCCAAGCTGACTAGTATATCAAAACAAAATGTTGTTTTTAAAATTAATCCATCAAAGACAATTATTACAACAATCAGTGAGAAGTATTATTATGAACAATTAATGCTCCAAAACGCGCCATCAGTTTTAAATATTTCCATGTGTTTTCATGAATTTCAAGAATTTATACCATATAAATATCTGAATAAGTTTATTAAACTTTAATACCCTTAATATTAATATATATCTATGAGCGAACGAACTCAGGGCGAACGGACCCAGGGCGAACATGTAATCAGGGCGAACGGACCCAATACCCTGTGAAAGAAGGTGAATTCCGTATAAAAAGCTATTAAATATAGCATAAATTAATATTTTGGAAGATATAAACTATAGTTAAATGATTTTGATTAATAGGTGGTAGGGGGTTATATCCATCTTTGATTGGAAAAATGTAATTTTTATACGACCACATTTTTTTGCGGTCGTATATCGGTATGACGTTGTCGTCGTCTTCCGGCGTTATCGTCGTCGTCATCCGAAGACACATTGGTTTTCGCACTCTAACTTTAGTTTAAGTGAATGGATCTCTATAAAATTTTACCATAAGGTTCAATACCACAAAAGGAAGGTTGGGATTGATTTTGGGGATTATGGTACCAACAGTTAAGGAATTAGGGGCCAAAAATAAACATTTTTGTAACTTCCAGACATAACTTGTGTGTTAGTGTATGGATCTCTCTGACATTGTACCACAAGGTTCCATATCACAAAGGGAATGCTGGGATTGATTTTGGGGGTAATTGCCTCAAAATTTTCGGAATTAGGGGCCAAAAAAGGGCCAAAAAACAAGCATTTTTCTAGTTTCATGGCAATAACTTGTGTGTAAGTGTATGGATCTTTATGAAATTGTACTACAAGGTTCCATATCACAAAGGGAAAGCTGGAAGTGAGTTTGGGGGAAATTGCCCAAAACGTTTAGGAATAAAGGGCCAAAAATAAGCATTTTTCCAGTTTCCAGACAATAACTTGTGTTCAAGTGTATGGATCTCTCTGAAATTGTACTGCAAGGTACCATACCACAAAGGGAAGGCTGGGATTGATTTTGGGGGTAATTGCCTCAAAATTTTAGGAATTAGGGGCCGAAAAGGGGCAAAAACTAAGCATTTTTCTAATTTCAGGACAATGACTTGTGTGTAAGTGTATGGATCTTTCTGAAATTGTACTACAAGGTTTCATATCTCAAAGGGAAAGCTGGAATTGAGTTAGGGGGTAATTGCCCAAAACGTTTAGGAATAAGGGGCCAAAAATAAGCATATTTCTAGTTTCCAGACAATAACTTGTGTTCAAGTGTATGGATCTCTCTGAAATTGTACTGCAAGGTACCATACCCAAAAGGGAAGGCTGGGATTGATTTTGGGGGTAATTGCCTTAAAATTTTAGGAAAAAGGGGCAAAAAGCAAGCATTTTTCTAGTTTCAGGACAATAACTTGTGTTTAAGTGTATGGATCTTTCTGAAATTGTACTACAAGGTTCCATATCACAAAGGGAGAGCTAGGTTTGAGTTTTGGGGTAATTTCCCTAAACATTTAGGAATTTGGGGCCAAAAAGGGGCCTAAAAACAAGCCTTTTTCTAGTTTCCAGACAATAACTTGTGTTCAAGTGTGTGGATCGGTCTGAAATTGTACTGCAAGGTATATGGGGGAAAAATGCATCATTTTTTTTTGGAAATTGGGAAGTTTTGAATAAGAATTAATTGTACTAAAGCTTGAATTGTGAGACATTTTCAACCAGAAAGGAACTTTTTGGGGAGGAGAAAGAAACGGAAAAAATGATGGTACTTAATTCATTGTTACCAACACCGCGATGATTCTAATCAGAAACCTTGATCTCAAAAGCGCTTTCATAATATCAATATAATAACATGAATACGAAATTTACATACATTACTACCGATGCCATCACCGTTTGGGGAAAATTGTACTTAAATGTGCACCTGAAAAAAATTTAAGGCCTGACTGGACCTACAATGTAGATATATAAAAGTTATCTGCATTTTGTGTTTTAGAAAATTAAACACTTTTCAACAAAATAACCTGAATGGTTCTTATAATTAGGGTATCCAGACTAAAATACTTATGCCTTTTGTTCCTCCAGTGGCTAAAAAGAAAACATAAGGGTACAATGAAAAGAATTTTCTCAAAGGTATAAGAAATCAGACAGCCCAAAAAAAGCTCAGAATGTCAATGCAACCAATCAACAATAGGTTACCTAGTGGTGCCCAGATGATCGATTATACATGTAATTGAAAATCAGTCGATTGGACTGTTTTTCCAAGCACTCAATTACAAAATGTTAATGTCCCATTTTTCGGAAATTTTCTAGCTTTACTTTCACTTTTGATTCCTGTTACTGCTGATGTCATCAAGTTGAGCGTTTTATTTTGTGTCTCAATGAATGTACATAAGCGCAGGTTTTAAAATAATTTGACCTTATTTAAGAGTTTATAAAAATTATAGAAGAAGTAACTGAGACAGAAAGTCTAAATGTGCATCTATTATTTGTAATAATTTTGAATTCGAGGAATAAGGAATACATTTTTTTTGGTTTTTTTTTTTATAGTTTATTGACTTTGACATGTTTGATGTTTGATCAAATCCAGTTAATATTTTATGTTTTGCATATACATAAAAGCTACTCAAAATGGAAATTATCTGAAAAAAGTTACCTTTAATACAAAAATGCCAACATCAAACACACAACAGATGTACAGAGCGTATTCTTTATTAATCCATGTTTAAATTACACACCAAAGTATTGACAAAACAATGACAACATGCCATTTATCTTTAAAAAAAAATTGAAAAGAGTTTTCACATTGTTCAGATTATTAATTGATCATTAGTTCATTGTGTATAAGCAATGATCAATCATGAAATTTCTTCTGATCCTCATCATCAGGTAAATCAATCATATACTGTAAACGATCAAGGTGCAGTTGAAGTTTCATCTGGGATTTTTAACTGCTGGGATAAAATTTTACAATATTGATTGAAATGATGGCAATTCTGCTAGACAGAGAGTGTAAAGCATAATTCTCTCCGGATGAAATAACATCCGGCAGAAAAAAATATGACATATGATATTGTAAGATTCTTTCCAGAGGAAATTATATCACTGTGAGATATTTTCCATTGACATGAAATTTTATTTAACCGGAAAGTTTTACAGATAGAAGGTGTGAAATTGTTGTTTTCAGCCAAAGTAGTCCTATTTAACAATTAAAATATCGAAAAGTTAATAAAAAACTAAATATTTGCAATTACTATGGACTAATAATGGAGTAATTAAATAAAAAGCTAAAGTAGTAATTAAAAACCCAAACAATTGTATTGTAATCGGAAATAATATCACAGATGTTAGTTATAAAATAATATCCAGAAATAATTTTACAGTAAAATATCATCCCGGCGTTTGAAACAAAAATTTTCTATTTCATAATCACAATATACATGTAAAAAGGAAAACAATTATCATGAAAAATATGTAACAAAACCAGAAATAATTTCATAGATCTTAATTGTGAAATAATATCCTGCCAATAAGAAAATAAGGTAAGTGAAATACAGGTACAAGTGAGTTGTTTTCAAATGTGAGTACAATTAAAAAAATAAAGGTAGAATATAGTTACATCACTACAGTAATGGAGGAATCAGAGTATGATGATATATTCAACTATATAAATTCCCAAGAATATCGCATTGTCTCAAGTGAGAGTCAAAAAAGAAAATACTTTCCATACAATATTTTACTGCGTAATGCTGCCCAGCAAAATATTTCACAGCTGGATAGTATTTACCTGTGAAATATTTTCCGTCTTTATAATTATTAATTAAAGTCATTATTTTATATTTAAGAAATTAAGTAAAAAGGAAATAATTTCATTTTGAAATTTATTCCGGAATATAGTATGCATAAAATGAAATACCATGTCTTGAAACTATTTACGGTGACAAATCTTCCACCAGGAAAAATATCACAGAGGAAGAAAAAACCATTACAATAGCACAGCTTTCAAAAATTAGCACTTTGGGACCGTGATGCTTTAAGGCCCTTGGTAGAACACTGACTGTCTATACTTATTTGGAAAGAGGTAATGAATTTTTAAACATGTTAAACTAACTATTTTTCTAATTGTATTATATGATTATATCTTTTAAAGTTATTTGATAACTACATATACTTTTATGTTATAGGTAGTTGAATTGAAAGAAAAATTGAAAGAAAAAGGTTTGACTGTATCTGGGTCTAAACCAGAGTTATTGAAGAGATTAAAAGATGCCATGGAATTAGAAGGTATGTGAATGAAAGATTAACAGAAGAACTATGGACATTTTCAGCTAAAATTTAGGGCCCAGCAAAAATTTAGTGGCCTTGGACCAGGGCTTCCAAAATTATTTTTAGCCAGCCGGACATTTTATATATTATCCCGATTTTAATCCCTTAAGACTAAATAAACAAAAGGCAATTATGGTATTCAGTTGCTGAGATGGCCATCCCAATGATTGACATTAAAAAAAACGATATTAAACTTTCTTTGATTCAAATTCGAAGTTCTGACGTAAACTGTTAAATTGGCAGTGCATCATTCGAAGTGTGCAACATCAGCGTACTTATATCTGCCTTAGACTCTTTATTTGTGCAAAATAACGTGGTCAAAAACTTTACATTCGTTAAAATCTTATACCGGATGTTATCTTGACAATGGTAAAACATGGACCAGAGACGGATAAGTAAATTCCGTGTACATTTGCAAAGCATGAATGAGTGTACGTAGTAGCTCTTTCTACGTTATTTCTTCAAGAAAATATTCAAAATAAACGTGAGATAAAGGTATCAATGACAATTTAAACATTTTTTGAAGAAATTAGGATGCATAATTAAATTTCACACCTGCACACATGCGCACACCAAGGATCCGGAAATTTTTCCACACAATTTCGGTCATTTTGAGATGATTGAAAAGTTGGTGCCCCTTTCCATGTCAACTTGAGTCTTGACTAGATTCATAGCATCAACGAACTTGTATTGCTGTTTCATCGCATTTACTTAGTAAATGTCTTACCATTACCATGAAGAACAGTTTAGGGAAGGCAATAGTTTAAAATTGAAATGATTTTAATGACTCAAAATGGTAAATCTCTCAGACATTGCTTACGTTTCTTTCGATTTGACAAAAGTTAAAACCGGAAGTTTGCGATAAAGTTAAAGAATGAATAATTCCGGATTCATTTCAGGGATTTGTTTTGTTTATCAAATTGACAGGAAATCACCGGCTTTTTATGTTTTTTTTTTATTTTATTACCTTCAAAAGTGTTTGAATGTAACAGACAATAGTTGCACTCGTTTAATTTAGCATGAAATCAATTTGCATTTTACGATTAAATATTAAATTTGCTGAAGACAATTTCACGCATGCGTATTATACAGTAGATAAAGCACATGAAAAAATACTTTTTTCTCCGTGAATTTAGGTTTAATTTTTAAATCAGATTTGATGATTGTCTTTGCTGAAAAGTAATTAAATAATGAATACACTTGTCAGGGAATTTCAATTTTTGTTAAGATATTATTCTGAGCTTGTGATCACTGTCAGGTGTGAATTTAAACCACAGGTAAAAAGTGATTAGCGATCATTAGCCAATGTTTCCCGGAGGCATTGATATAGATATTAGGAGGGCCCTCAGGATTATCAAACTACTGGAGTGGCAGTTTTATTACAGGAAAGGGATTATAAACAAAACAAGTGATCACAACTTACACAAGACAGTGCAAAATGGCGATTAAGAAATCCGATTTCAAACATTGAGTCAATGAAATGACCGAAATTACTTCTTTAAAAAAATAAAATTTGTCCTAAATCCCAATTACTGGTTTAGGACAAATAGTTTCATCTTAGGACATGACTGGCATATATGACCGTTTCCGGACCCTTGGCGCACACGGGTACTAGTTCAAACAGACATGTCTCTGGTTCAAACAACGTGGTTATGACGATTTTTCATTTTCACCTTTTTAATTTTTTCATCAAATCATATTTGTAAACGTATTTCTGATAAATTCGTTTGGGATTGGGAAGACTTATTGTTTTTGCTCAGTTATTATTATTATTATTCTTCTTCTTCTTCCTCTTCCTCTTCCGCCGCTTTTAAATTTGAACTTGTCCGCACCCGTTCTCCAAAACCACTTGTCAGATTAACTTAGGGTTTCACAATATGTTAGACTAACATGTCTAGTGGTGCAATCAGGGTTTTGTTTGTGCAATGGGGTTTATAAAGGGGTACTTTGAGGGGCAAAAAGAAAAGAGGGTTTTACTATAGAACCCTATGGGATTTTATGTTTTTAAATTTTCAAATGATTATAAATTGAAAACCGTTTGTGATAGACACAATCTTTTTAATTGAAAATGTTCTAAATGATAAAACCCATTAAATGAAATACAGGGTTAGTCCCCAGGGGTCATCCCCACCCCCTGCCATTTAAGAAAGTTCTAATATCTTGTAAGTGGTCAAGATCCCCACCCCTAAACCATATATATTCTGGTTTGTCATGCTAAGATGGTTTGAATGATATACAGGGTTAGTCCCCAGGGGTCATCCCGACCCCCTGCCATTTCAGAAAGTTCTAATATCTTGTAAATGGTCGAGATCCCCACCCCTAAACCATATATATTCTGGTTTGTCATGCGAAGATGGTTTGAATGATATACAGGGTTAGTCCCCAGGGGTCATCCCGACCCCCTGCCATTTGAGAAAGTTCTAATATCTTGTAAATGGTCGAGATCCCCACCCCTAAACCATATATATTCTGGTTTGTCATGATAAAGCACATGAAATGAAATACAGGGTTAGTCCCCAGGGGTCACCCCCACCCCCTGCCATTTAAGAAACTTCTAATATCTTGTAAGTGGTCAAGATCCCCACCCCTAAACCATATATATTCTGGTTTGTCATGGTAAGATGGTTTGAATGAAATACAGGGTTAGTCCCCAGGGGTCACCCCCACCCTTTGCCATTTAAGAAAGTTCTAATATCTTGTAAGTGGTCAAGATCCCCACCCCTAAACCATTTATATTCTGGTTTATCATGCGAAGATGGTTTGAATAATATATAGGGTTAGTCCCCAGGGGTCATCCCGACCCCCTGCCATTTGAGAAAGTTCTAATATCTTGTAAATGGTCGAGATCCCCACCCCTAAACCATATATATATATTCTGGTTTGTCATGATAAAGCACATGAAATGAAATACAGGGTTAGTCCCCAGGGGTCACCCCCACCCCCTGCCATTTAAGAAACTTCTAATACCTTGTAAGTGGTCAAGATCCCCACCCCTAAACCATATATATTCTGGTTTGTCATGCTAAGATGATTTGAATGAAATACAGGGTTAGCCCCCAGGGGTCACCCCCACCCTTTGCCATTTAAGAAAGTTCTAATATCTTGTAAGTGGTCAAGATCCCCACCCCTAAACCATTTATATTCTGGTTTATCATGCGAAGATGGTTTGAATAATATATAGGGTTAGTCCCCAGGGGTCATCCCGACCCCCTGCCATTTGAGAAAGTTCTAATATCTTGTAAATGGTCGAGATCCCCACCCCTAAACCATATATATATATTCTGGTTTGTCATGATAAAGCACATGAAATGAAATACAGGGTTAGTCCCCAGGGGTCACCCCCACCCCATGCCATTTAAGAAAGTTCTAATATCTTGTAAGTGGTCAAGATCCCCACCCTTCAACCATATATATTCTGGTTTGTCATGCTAAGATGGTTTGAATGATATACAGGGTTAGTCCCCAGGGGTGATCCTGACTCCCTGCCATTTGAGAAAGTTCTAATATCTTGTAAATGGTCGAGATACCCACCCCTAAACCATATATATTCTGGTTTGTCATGCCAAGATGATTTGAATGATATACAGGGTTAGTCCCCAGGCATCACTAATGCATATAACTTTAATTTTCACTGGACTTTGCCCATTGTCAGGCGACCCTGGGAATTACGAATTATGGGAGCTTCGTTTGGGAGACTTAGTAACAGCATCCTGTTACAATCATTTCTTGTTTAAACTTTTTTGACTAAATTAATTAGATGCAAACCGCTGAAATGTAAGAAAATAACTTTGAATAGACCGATCAATGTCCGGTTCAAAATAGTTTACCTTCACCTGAACAGGTAAATTTCAGCTGTTCGACAACTAGTTAGCCTTGATTAAAGTGAGAAGGTATTAAAGTAGGGGTTGTTTTGATAGTACTTAATGATCATGTCACTTTTATGACCGGAAATGTGTGGCTGTTAAAGGCAAAAGGTTGGGTCAAAAAGATCGCGAATTATGTTGAAATGACCGTCTCTTAAGAAAGCCTTGAAAACTAAAAAGTAGATGACCGTTTCATGCTTTGCCCAGCCGGACTTTTACCGGACATTATACAAATGTCCGGAATATATGACCGTTTTGGAAGCCTTGCCTTGGACACTGGGACTCCTGTTAATTTTTTTCCCTAATAATACAGACATTTGATACAATTAACACCAGTTGCTGCTTTTAGAGTCTTTGTGAAGGTAAATCCAGAAAAGTGCTTACAATGCATGCATTTAAAAGTGTTGTTTTCATTTTTTTTATGTTTTATCAAAGATTGAGCGGTCCCTTTGAAATTAATATTCATTTGAGTTTCAATTCTATATGTAGATAACACCAAGAGACAAGATCTTATTTTTCATTCCAATTTTTTCAAACACTAAAGTTCATTGTTAAAAACTTTTTACAGTTAGCAGGAGCGGATCCAGGATTTTAGGTTTCGGGGGCGCAAAATAAAATTTTTTTGAGGTAAAATTATCGAAATTTTCTTTATTAAGCTGAGGACAACCCATGCTTTCCAAATTTTAAGGGGGCGCACGTCCGCCACACCCCTGCCTGAATCCGCCCCTGGTTAGATGAATGGTTCTCAGGTTAGCATTCATAAATGTGTATGAATTGTAATTATGTACAAATTATAATCTGGACACACTTTTTGAAAAAGTTGTCATTATTTTGACACCCAACTTCTTTCACCAGGCTATACATGTATGTCTTCAATAAGGAACCAGATTGATATTTTACTCACAAATTTCAATACCTCAACTTTACATTAAGCACCATCCTCCTGGTCATTAGGCTGCAAATGGGGACTCTAGATTGGGTTAGATCCTATTTGTATTTTTCTCTTAAACCAGATTCTATATGTAAGTCCCCAAAATATCACATTATATTATGTATTATAAAAATTTGTATCAGTGTTATGTATGAGACTGTAGCATGCTAGTATGCAATTGATAATTTGTATGCTTCCAAGACTTTAATATTTTTGCTATATCCCAACCTTGTGAAACCAGTGTTAAACATGTTTTCTCATTTAGTCCTTTAACACTTTGTATCCACATTGCACAGCTCCTCCTCCATTAGTAAGAATCTTCAGAATCTGATAGCATTGTGACCTGTTTTTTGTTGTTGATCCAATCAGTTTTGGGATTTCCAATACATGTACATCTAGCAACACATCCACTTGGCCATACCTATACAAACCAGAATAGTGATCTTATATTTCTGTAATGCCTTCTAAACAGCAAGTGGATTTGAAAGACTGTTTAATATTTTGATCGAAATAATTTTAGGGATTTCCCATGACAAATAATGTATTTTGACAAATCCACAAAAGGTATAGCCATATTGTATACATACGTCTTGTAATTCATGCTGTAAAAGTTAGAATGTTGCTTTGTATCAAGAACTGCATTTTGACACACAGTTTAGATACCTCAATATAAGTAAAATAACACTTACAAAACAACTTAAACCACAAAAAATATAAAGCATGTACATGTATACATGTAAGCTTCCTATAAAACAATGAATCTGTGAATTATATACAATAAAACTCAGAGTTTTAACAGTTATTTTACTAGATAGTATCTACAGTGATCTGTTTAATTTTTTAGTTCTTTAATTAAATATTATTTTGATATGATTTACAGAAACAGCAGAGCTAGAAGAAACTGAAGAAGTGGTAAGATTTAAGGCTACACTATAATACATGTATAGGATAGAGTAAATTCTGCAATATAATACATGTATAGGATAGAAATAAGGCTATAATATGTTACATGTTTATGTAAGAATTAAGGCTAAAATATATTACATGTGTATGAAAGAATTAAGGCTACAACATAATGGAGGGGATGTCATTTTAAAAACAAAAAAAATAAAGTATTCTTTCCCAGATCTCCAACTATAATCATTATTTCCTGAGTCCCGACAGTTGGTAAATCCAGAGTTCCCGCAAAGATAAAGGACCAATCCTGACGTCCCGATAAAAGGTCTTTCCACCCCTCATTATTTTAGAACATGCTGTCAGATTAAGAGTTTGATTACCTTGCTTTGTTGTTCCTTTCCATTGAAATGTAGGACTACATGATATACTCTGGTGACCTTGCCAATATTGTCTGATCAGTGCAATATCAATGGAAGGACTTTGGTGACTTTGAGGAAATGATAGATAATTGGTTAACACTTTTGCCAATTGTTTCTATGTATCTACTTCATCATTTCATTTTAGTAGTATGGGTTAAATTTTTTTAATTTGTCTTTCACAAATTTTGTGTTTCACAAATGTTGTGTTAGGTTTAATTAATGAAATTTTAAAGCTTGCAAAAAGTGGTGGTTTTCTAGGCACTTCTGTGAACTGAATTGTGTCAATGTTTGGATTTAAGAAGATCGTACAATTGCCAAAAAGGATTTATTTGTTTCCCAAACCAAACATACAAAAAAAAATTCTGCAACTCGATAAGTTTTTTATTTAAATTTTGTAGTTTTCTTTGATGTACACAGAGCAGTCACATACTTGTTTAACAGTCATGGGCATCATTGAAAACAGTTATTTTTTATAATAATTGCAATTTGTTTGGTTATTTTTGGTAATAAGTAACTGAACATTCTTAAAGTAATTATTAAATGGTCTTTCAAGGGTCCGGGAAATCTTGAAAATAACTAGCTATCTATTAAAGAACGTGGAGCAATCTCACTGTAGTGTCAGTCCACACATAGATATATACACCCATTTGGTTTGTACACCTATGGTCCACATGGGAATTTCTTGGTTTATTGAGGAAAAATCTTTGAAACAGAGAAAATTTAAGTTAAATATAGACCATTTCAGAAAATTTGTCAAATATATAACCCAAACTAGAAAACTTAGGCTATAAGTTTATAACTGAAGCTAACTAAAACCAGTTATTTAACGAAAACTGTCTACATGTATGTGTATACCTAACTGTTTAGATAATTTTATACAAAATATATTGACTTTTAAACACTTGAATGAAAGGAATTTACATTAGAGGAAATATTTCATGGTACTGCCAACTTGTTTGTTCTATCTAAATAACTGAAAAAGTTAAGAATTCATCTTCAGAACTCTCTGCCATTCACAACTTTCTAAAGCACCATTTACTATAAAATATGTCAAATTTAAGTGCATCTTTTCTCTCCTTTTGTAAAAAAACTATAAGCTACTTGTATCAATCATTAACAAGAATACTAATGAAATAAGGATTTCGAAACAGTATTGTTTGCCTAGAAAACAAAATAATCTGGTTATGTGAATAATAATTAATTTCAGGTAGAACAGGTGGTTCTCCAAGAAGAGGAGGAGGAAGAGGAGGTAGATGATGATATGACCTTGACAGAGGACAAATTAGAGATAACTGAATCTAAAACAGTTCCTGTGAGGTAAGTTACATGGCAAAATGCAAAAAGACAAAATAAGAGGTCCTGACAACTTTTCCTACAAGATGTAACTTTCAATTGATGGAAAAGACATATATGCCAAGAGTTACGATTTTCCCCTAGTTGTTACGAATTTTGGATGGTAATTACTGTGTTACGGTAAACAGTCTACTAGTTATGGATTTACATTTATTACCAGTCTGGACCAGATTCCTTTGTAGATATCATTTTGATTATTTTAATACTTCATTTTTATACGACCGCAAAAAAATTTTTGTGGTCGTATATTGGTATGACGTTGGCGTTGTCGTTGTCGTCGTCGTCTGAAGACGCATTAGTTTTCGCACTCTAACTTTAGTTTAAGTGAATGATCTCTATGAAATTTTACCATAAGGTTCAATACCAGAAAAGGAAGGTGGGGATTGATTTTGGGGGTTATGGTACCAACAGTTAAGGAATTAGGGGCCAAAAAGTGGCCAAAAATCAGCATTTTCTAGTTTCCAGACAATAACTGTGGAACGGTGTATGGATCTCTCTGAAATTATACTACAAGTTTCCATACCACAAAGGGATGGTTAGGATTTGCTTTGGGGGGTTATGGCTCAAACCGTTTAAGAATTAGGGGCAAAAAAGGGGGGAAAACAAGGTTGTCCTGGTTAATGGACAAATACTTTAGTACAAAACATAATTTAAAGCATTGTAAGGGAGATAAATCAAATACATCATTGAAATTATCTCCCTTACACTGCTTTTAAATTATGTATAAAGTAATGGTTAATGAACAATTAAGATAATTTAAAACAGTGTAAGGGAGGTAATCCAAATACAACGTTTTGGTTACTTCCCTTACACTGCTTTTAAATTATGTTTAAAGAAATGCATATTTATAAAGGAAGACCAGTAAAAATATCTGCAAATGTTGCATCTTTTTTTTTTACAAAAATATCCATATGAAAGATTTGACACTATATTTTAAATTCTATTATAAAATAGATTAAGTTAGCACCATGGCTTCCAAAACGGTCATATATTCCGGACTTGACCGAAATTTATATAAAAAGTCCGGCTGCTCTCAGCCTCAGACGGTCAAATATCATAGGTTTGCCACTTTTTGTTATTCAAGGCATTTTCATAAAACGGTCATTTCACTTTTTTTACCAACTATCGATCGGTAAAAATGTCCGTTTGGGCATTATAGTTTATAATTGTGGCAATCTATTTCACAAAGATATTTTGGTCATATTTGGGTTTAATTAAACAGATGCAGCATATTTCATACTTTGAAGTGTCTCAGTTAGTCTAATCCTCTGGGTACACAAATGCACGGCTTGGTACATCAATAAAAAGTAGAAAAAACATTTGTTCTTTTATTTAAAAAACAACAAGCTGTCAAACAATTATCCCTTCAATAAGTAATATTGAAGCCATAAATCATTCACTGATTACAGGTATTACCTTTGATGAGGGACCTTAGCTTGTCTTAATCAATAGAATTGATGATGCATAACAATGGACATAAAGGTGATCAGGTAAACGAGGTCAAACATGTAAGGGTGTATGGAACAACATCCTATTTAATTACGCTTTGTAGATATTATTGTAAATGAACATTCAGTTTTAAAAAAGTATCCTTAGATTTTAGAATAATTCTTCAAATAAGAATATTTATAAATGAATTCATATTTGTATGATATTCATTATTATATTTAAAAACACTGTACATCTGTTAAATATTGGGGTACGCTAAAGGGTATTCAAAGTTATTTTCTTACATTTCAGCGGGTTGCATCTAATTAATTTAGCCTAAAAGATTGAAATTATAAGATATACGTTAATAAATATGATTTGATGAAAAATTTGAAAAGGTTTTAAACGAATAATCGTCAGAACCACGTTGTTTGAACTAGTACACGTGTGCGCATGTGTCTATTGTGCGCTGGTGGGAAATTTAATTATGCATCCTAATTCTTCAATAATGCTAAAATTATCATTAATACCTTTAACTTACGTTCATTTCGAGTATTTTCTTGAAGAAATATCTTGAAAAGGCTACTTAACTCAATCGTAAACGTACACGGATATTACGTATCCGTCTCTGATCCGTGATTTACCATTGTCAAGTCAACATCCGGCATTTGGAAAATGTGATTTTAAAAACGAAAGTAAAGTTTTGACAACGTTATTTTGCACAAATAAAGAGTCTAAAGCGGAATTAGGCAGAATTAGTACGCCGATGTTGCACACTTCGAATGCTGCACTTTCAATTTAACACTTTACGTCAGAACATCGAATTAATATCAAAGTCAAGTTTAATATCGTTTTAATGTCAATCATTGGTTATATGATCGCCAACTGATTATCATAATTGCCTTATTTACTAAGTCTAAAGGGATTTAAAATCGGGATAAGATATGAAATGTCCGGCTGGCTCAAAATTTTTTTGGAAGCCCTGGTTAGCACTATGGTAAATTTAAATGGGTAACTATGGTTGCAAACTCCATTGGAAATTTGAATTGAGATTATAACCATATCTTGAGGGAAAGAATTTTTTGGGGGAAAAAAGGGGGGGAAAGAAATTGTGGGGGGTCAATTTTTTCTCATTTCAGATTTCAGAAATTAAAAAGAATTATTCTTCAAATATTATTTTTTTTTCAAATTTCAAATATTGAAAAATTTCAAGAAGTAATCTTTAATTGCACAGTATGGCGCATTAGATTTGTAAAATCTATGACCACATTCATTTATTTGTTATGCCGAATCTAACCGTGTATTTAGATTTTTAATTTTGGGTCCAGTTTTCAAATTGGTCTACATTAAGGTCCAAAGGGTCCAAAATTAAACTTTGTTTGATTTTAACAAAAATTGAATATATGGGGTTCTTTGATATGCTGAATCTAAACATGTATTTAGATTTTTGATTTTTGGCCCAGTTTTCAAGTTGGTCCAAATTGGGGTCCAAAATTAAACTTTGTTTGATTTCAACAAAAAATGAATATATGGGGTTCTTTGATATGCTGAATCTTACCATGTATTTAGATTTTTTATTTGTGGACCCCGCTATCAAATTGGTTCATATTGAAGTCAAAAGGGTCCAAAATTAAACTTTGTTTGATTTCATCAAAAATTGAATTATTGGGGTTCTTTGATATGCCAAATCTAACCGTGTATTTAGATTTTTTATTTTGGGTCCCGTTTTTTAAATTGGTCTACATTAAGGTCCAAAGGGTCCAAAATTAAACTTAGTTTGATTTTAACAAAAATTGAATTCTTGGGGTTCTTTGATATGCTGAATCTAAACATGTGTTTAGATTTTTGATTATGGGCCCAGTTTTAAGTTGGTCCAAGTTGGGGTCCAAAATTAAACTTTGTTTGATTTTTTAACAAAAATTGAATATATGGGGTTCTTTGATATGCTGAATCTAAACATGTATTTAGATTTTAGATTTTTGGCCCAGTTTTCAAGTTGGTCCAAATTGGGGTCCAAAATTAAACTTTGTTTGAGTTCAACAAAAATTGAATATATGGGGTTCTTTGATATGCTGAATCTTACCATGTATTTAGATTTTTTAATTGTGGGCCCGCTATCAAATTGGTTCATATTGAGGTCAAAAGGGTCCAAAATTAAACTTTGTTTGATTTCATCAAAAATTGAATTATTGGGATTCTTTGATATGCCAAATCTAACCATGATTTTAGATTTTTAATTTTGGGTCCCGTTTTTTAAATTGGTCTACATTAAGGTCCAAAGGGTCCAAAATTAAACTTAGTTTGATTTTAACAAAAATTGAATTCTTGGGGTACTTTGATATGCTGAATCTAAACATGTGTTTAGATTTTTGATTATGGGACCAGGTTTCAAGTTTGTCCAAGTTGGGGTCCAAAATTAAACTTTGTTTGATTTCAACAAAAATTGAATATATGGGGTTCTTTGATATGCTGAATTTAACCATGTATTTTGATTTTGGACATTGGACCATAATAGGTAAATTAAAAAAATTGAAGTTCTTAGACCACATTCTTTCTGTGTCAGAAACCTATGTTGTGTCAAATATTTAATCACAAACCAAATTCAGAGCTGTATCAAGCTTGAATGTTGTGTCCATACTTGCCCCAACTGTTCAGGGTTCGACCTCTGCGGTTGTATCAAGCTGCGCCCAGCGAAGCATTTTATTGGTTATAATTTTTTAATAATAAGCGATTGAGTGCTCTGGATTGTTATATTCCTTCAGTGTTCTCAGGACTATTTATAATAGAAAATGATTTGTTCATTTCTTGTAAGATTATGAACAATTATTATGTCTGATGGAACAATTAAATATTTGACAATGAAATCAGAAACTGGAAGATTATGCTTTTCCAAACATTATAAACAACACTTCCATTTAGAACAATTGTCAGTGTTCCTGTTAGTATGATTATGTTAAAATTTTATGATTTTTTTTTGTTACTGAAAAAAAATCATAAATTATTGAAATCTGAATACGTTTTTACTGATTACACCAAAAGGGGGTTGGCATATGCATCTATGAAAAGACATTTGTCAGGATATTGTGCTGGTATTTTGTAATTGCCATTGTGTAATGAGTAGTTACATATAACTTCAAGATTTTGTCCTATTTGACCTTCTTTTTTATGCCCTGCCGCAAACAAGGGAGCATTAAGTGTTACCCTTGTCCATCTGTATGTCCGTACCTACGTACGTCCCAAAATTAGTTTCAGTTCTCTAACTTTAGTTTGCCTCAACCAAATGTTATGAAACCTATACACAATGCTTATTAGCACAAAACACAGATCAAGTTCCAATTTGGGTGGCGTCACTTTTACAGTTCTCTAGTTATGTCCCTTTATAATGTTATATGCCCGCGGGGCATCATCTGTGTCTGCATTTATTTTACTTTTGATGCAAATGGACAGTGAAGACTTCTATAATTTCAAGGAAATAACAGTTTTCTGTTTAAATTCATCCTACTGAGCAGATACAAAGCAGACATTTTGTAGTCATTTAGTATTAATATGCTAAATGTTAAGCTGAATAGCAGCTAAAACTATGTTTAAAATCTTTTGTTTGACTTAATCAGGGATTGAATCATCAGCCTATTGTAATTTAGGCATGCTAGCTATCATAAGACCACAATTTTAAGCAGTAGAGGTATATATTTTGACTTCACATCTTATTGAAATGGAGATTATTATTCATCAAACTCAGAGTGTTTAGTTTACTCGATTACAATTGTTGTCTAGTGGTCCAGATCTTGTCTACATGAATATTTTTCTATGTATCCAGTTCATGTTTGGTATGATATCCAATTTATGATTTGTAAATTTTGAATTGGAAAATTTTCAAGTCTGACAATGTCTTCTACTTTGGTAAGGATGTGTTTAATAAATCCTTTTTAAACAACTAGTCTTTAACCTTTTGTTAACACTAGTTAATTTTTATTATGATGTCTTGATGTTATAATGTACTTAGCTTTGCATTTCTTTAAAGCTATTTTTGAAGGTGTTGCAGACCCTTTGAAACACTGTAAAAGTTACATGTATGAGGCATTTTGTCCTGACCATAATAGTGTTTAGGTAACCACTGCTTTTAATATTAGATGTGGGTTAACCATGATCAGGTAATTACGATTTTCCAAAAAGACAGTTTTTATATTATTTTTTTTGGAAGGGGGGGGGGGGGTGTAAAAAAAAAATTTGGGGGGGAGGGGTACAAAAAGTTTTTTTTGGCGGGGGGGTCAATTTTTTTCCGTCAAGATTTAAGAAATTGTCAATTTTCCAAAGAAAAAATTGGGGGTCACAATTTATTTTGCTAATTCTTTGTATATAGTCTGAAAACAGATTTACTAAGTAATGCACAACAGCAAGAAATCTTCAATTGAATATAAATTCAAATCATACAACCAATTTTAAGTTCTTTGACTACATTTATTCTGTGTCAGAAACCTATAATGTGTCAAATATTTAATTACAATCCAAATTCAGACCTGTATCAAGCTTGAATATTGTGTCCATTTTTTGCCCCAAATGTGCAGGGTTTGACCTCTGCAGTCGTAATCAGCTGCGCTCGGCGAAGCAGTTTATTTTAAAGAGTTATTGATCCTTTTTAATCTTTGTATAAGTTGTAATTTTTTTCAAGAGTTATGGGCCCTTTTTTTTTTTTATAAGATGTAATTATGCTCATGTAGGCAGCTAGCCTTTTATTGCTTACTATATTAAGTTCATATTTGGTATGTTCTTTTGTTGAAGTGGGAACATTTGCGTATTATTGTGATATTTGAAACAGCCAATATCTGTGAGAGTATGATCCCTTTTTCAAATGTGTAAAAATGCATGTCTTTTTAGGGTCTTTTATAGCTTTCTATGCGGTATGTGTTTTACTCTTTGTTGAAGGCTGTTCACTACAGTGACCTATAGTTGCTTACTTCTACATTATTGGAGAGTCTCATTGGCAATCATACCACATCTTCTTTTTTGAATATGTATATGTACTTCAGCTTGTGTAGCTTAGTTAACTGACCATTTATTTATGCATATTAAATAAACAAAAAAGATCAAAACAACAACACACTACAACATATCCTATCAAAAATAAAAACATGACTGAAAACAACAAAATATGTGGACAACGTCATAAATCAGTGCAAGAACATGATGATCTTTACCAGAATGAGAAACTACAAACCTATTAAAACAATTTCTCTTGGAGGGTAAATAAAGGTTCCACACTCTAATCATGGTTAATGTCAGTAAGAAGACATAGAATGATGTTTTATGAAAACTGTTCAGTTAATTCCTTAACATTAGTAAATACTTTCTTTATCACAATGTGAATATTGAAAATATTGAGAAATAATATACATTTATTTCCCGTGCTGGAGGGAGATATGAAGATTTGTATCATCTGAAATAAATTTGAACATGATAATGATTTTTGCTATCGCTATTTTAAGAAGAATAAGAAGTTCAAAACGTTATGTACATTAACCGCGCGTAACGTAAGTTAAGTAATCCTGACATTTCAGAGGGGAATATGATCCTCAGAATGGAATATGAAGATTTGTTCAATGACACGTGGGATAGTCTCAACCAATCAAATATTGATTAAACTATCAATAGGTATAAACAGTGGAATAATTCATTTTATGTGCCTGATGTCATGAATGTCTTCTAATGATAAAATATAATTAAAATTTTAAAACTAGAAATGAGCATAACATTGTTGACTTTAATTGTTAATGATATGTTTTTGCTTTATAATTCATAGTTCAAGTAAGGAATCCATAGAAAATGGTAAACCAAAGAAGATCTCTTTATCAGGATTTTCAGATGCAGAGGTGAATATGAATAATATGATTACTTAGAATTAAAGTATGATAGTTAATTATATTGGTAATCAATTTGAAAATGACTCATCATGTTTTATGTAAATTGTTTGGTGAAAAAAAACGTATCTAAATATATGAATGAGGAGTTATAGGAACTTATTTAAGAAAAAACCCTAAATCATGTAGAAATGATGTTTATATGTTTACTAGTGACTTTTGATTATTATCTGGGTATTTTAGTGCAAAAACAGTAATGATTTAAAACCGCTTTTAGAACAATTGAAAGTTTTTTCAACCATCTCAATTTCACTTTTGATATACAAAAAGGATGAAAAAATATTAATTCTCTGTGAAATAAACAATTCAGGTGTAGCTTATCTTACACTGATTCCAAAGATACATACTTTCTTGAAAGATAGATCCACATTCAACATGTTGCCTGAATGGTATCTTGTATTTATTTGAAGGCCTGTAATAGATAGTTCTTAAAAAAATGTTTTAAGATTTTATTAATCAAGGCTGTTTCACACCTTCTTTCTTTTTACCCCCCACTTCTAAAGCAGGCAGTATATAGTGATGGCGAGCCTTCCATTAGTTCGTTCGTTCTTCTGTCCACTTTAGTACAATATCGGCATTCAACTTCTCCTGAACTGTGGGACAGTAATTTGTGAAACTTTCACAGAATCTTCCTCACATGATGTACTTTTACGCCTCATATTGCATGTCTTCATCTGAATGATTAAAGGGGTATACTTTGGCATGACATGGACAGGGACTTGGTTATATCTGCTAACTATAGTTCAAGAAAAAAGTAAGTCCAAAGTCCATTTCTGCTAATTTAAAAATATCAAGTAATATTCCAAAGGAAGGTGAATAACTTCTTTAAAAGTTAAGAATTAAATGTAGTACATTGTAATACTTTCATCCATTAGACTAGGGTTATTGATACTCATACAAATACTTTATCTTTTAGAGGTTAAAAAGTAGAGCAGAAAAATTTGGTGCTGTTAGTTCTGAAGCAAAGAAACAACTAAGAGCAGAAAGGTAATATATTCTTGTAGGCTTGTATTAAACTGTCTATAATTGTTTAAAAGTTTATTTTATAACTTCTATGTCTTAATAACATGTGTTTCAATTGTCTTTCATTAGTTATTTTTTACTTGCACAATTACACATTTTCCCAGGCATTACTGTGATTGCTGTCAATGTGTAGGAGATATTAATTATAGCTCGAGGTGTTCACTGGAGAACCAAAATAAAAATATTGAGCGACCATAGCTCATTGCAAAGTAAAGCAATCACCAATCAATCAATCAATCAATCAATCAATCAATAATAACTCAGAAAATTCTAGAACAAGCCAATGATATAATTACATTATGAATTATAAACTTGTTGTAAAATTGAGACTTGGTCTGAAATGAAAGTTTCAACATGAAAGATAGCTTAAAATATAAAAACAAAGTGTGCCCTGCTCACTGGTGGCAATATAAAATTTAAACGTTAAATTTTCAAATGGAATGAATCAGATTTTCATTTGAAAAAATTATAATACCGTACCTACTCGCTTATTAGTCGGAAAATTGGGGGTAAAATTCATAATCCAGAGAGAGGTACCGACTAATAGACGAGATCCAGCGACCAGAGGAAAAATCCAAGCTTGAGAAAAGTGGTCAGGAGTGAATTTCCTGGTCAAAACTACCTTTGTGATTGCCAAACCTACATAAATCAATAAATAAAAAGTTTTTATTGAAAATAAATGACTACAATACTGTCCTTGTGTTTTATTTGTTCTTTGTTATCAATTTTCTGCAAATTCGTGTTGAAATTCCCTCTGTTGCCGGTTTGGGTATTGATTTTCATGGTCAAATGGTTTGTGCATAAACCCAATAGAAGAGCCAAGAACCAAAAATGAAAAGGAGATAACAATGTACCAACTATGTGAAAGGATGTATTCAGTAATAGTTATACACTGAGGGATAGGTGTGTCTGGATAAGAAACCCCGACGGCGGGAGGCCGGAGGGTTTTCTTATCTAGACACGCCATATCCCAAAGTGTATAACTAACTTACACCCGATACTAAACCCTATATTAGTTTACATTGAATATTAAATGAAAAAGAACGGATAGCATTTTTATTGACAATTTCAAACCACGATTAATAAGAAAAATATTTTTTTTTTTTTTATGAAACCCCACAAGAAACCTTCCTTTGACAATCTTCATTCAAACTTTGACAAGTGAGTAGATTTTACAAATGTCAAAGTTGCCGTTTTGCATATTCCCCCTAAATCCATGTGCTAATATGGATCAGCAGGACAAGGTTGGCCGTATCGTGCATTCTTATTACAAAAAAAAAATCATACTCCTTTTATGCAGTTGTCAATATGGACGGGGATAAGATGGACGACATTTTGAGTCAGGCGTTGCATTTGGCAGAAGAGACTGAAGATAACGCAATGTTTATAACCCAAAGTTCTTATTGTATCAGTTTAATTAAGGTAATTTTACATGTTACGATTTTATCAAAAAAGCCCCCCCCCCCTTCTTCTCAACATTAAACAAACATTCATATTCGAACATACTGTGGGATAGGTGTCTGGATTAGAAACCCGTCGACCGGACACGCTTTACATACAAAAAAAAAGATTGCATATGTAGGAACTCCCCTTTTTGGGGTCATCCAAGGGGGGGGTTCTGGGGTTGGAATCTCCATATTTTTACGATCAGTGTTTTAGAATGTGGACATATGGCTGGAAACCACCCTACCCCCCACCACCACCACCACCCCCACCCCCTTTTATCCTGGGTTGGCACCCCCTTTTAAAAATTGGCTGGATCCGCCCCTGGGTGCCATCATTAGTCTTAAGACTAAGTCCAAATGAAAACTATATGTTTTTAATGTATAATTCAAATAAAAATTCTTTACATGTATGTTCTTTAAGACATTGCCATATGGGATTAAAATTTTAGCTTCAAGCAAAGGAGTATTTAAATGTTGTTTGTAATTCAAAATAGAAGCTAAATATTTGTTTCGCTATTGGAATTTCCTGGAATATGTTTTTCAATATGTCGTGAAACAACTTGTAGTGAACACTTAAGTAATCTCTTAAGTTCATGCTATTAAAAAAAAACAGTTTCTTTTGTTATGAATAACAATGGACTGTGTTTCCGGGATGTAGAAGCAGGGGTACACCCTGTGATCAAAATCCATTGTTATTCGTAACAATAGATCTATTCAATTTACACTTGTTTCAGAAATAGAAACTATGAAGTATAACAATAGAACTGGGGTGTAAGCGGAGTTATTGTGTCATAATTGTGATATCATGATATCAATTCAATACTTATAAATCATACAATAGTCAAATAATCAAAAATAATCTTCATTCAATAAGATTCATTCCCAAGATCAAAATATTATTCATTAAAATGTCTCAGGAAAACAAAAATTACAAAATTGATTGACAAGCCAATATAATCCATTGTTAGCACATACTTACAACTTCTCGTCCAATCAAATTGCTTATATTTGCCTTCTAATTTTCATAGTACATACTTTTCCCGTGTACTAAGTAATCAGCATGAATGACCGCAAGGGTAAGATTTCATTGTATCGTAATCATGATATTTAAAACAACAAAAATTGCCACTGGCTATTTTGAAATAAAATGCTGTGTTCCAAATTAAATTAAATAGTTTGTAATTAGTTTTCACGTTGATTTTTAAATACCCTGCTATTAAAATCTTTGGATATAAAAAATGTTTTTGACAATTGCAAATTTCTTTCATTTAAATAAAGGGTTATTCATATGGTTCTTTATACCTCGATTAGAGTACAACGATATCTTAAAATTATGATAATGTATCATCCATGCAATTACTTTGTACACAAAAAAAGTGTGTACTATGAAACCTTGTGAAGGGAAATTAAAGCAACTTGGTGATAATTTTTCAAACTTTCTTAAGGGAGGTGATCTATTTCGTCATGAATTGATTGATTTATTGATTATTAGTTGCTTAATGTTCAGTGGTAAATATTTCATGCATGTTCAGGACGATGTCATGAATTGAAAAACTGTGATTATGTCTGAAGATAATGTGCCACCTATATATACATATAAACATATTCTGATAAATCTTTTAGTTTTTACTTTGAAATAATAAAAAAAAAACACACAAAACCTATAATCTCTGATCTTTTTAATGCCTATCTGCTAGACTATATCTATGAGGAAAAACTATAAATATGTTTCAAATTTATTATAGCTTTAGTTTTACTGTGAAATTAAAAAATGTTTTCAAAATATGTAAAGCTTCCACTGCAATTTAATCATTGCCTGCTGTTGGTCAATTTATTTGGTCATCTTACCATGTAAGAAGAACATATATAGTAAAACACCGCTTTATATCAATATACATACTTACACCAGCAGCTACCATCTTTTCATTCTGGAGTTAAGGGCCTTTTGAAATCACATATTTTACAATGATACTAGTGAGTAGATTTACAAAACTTCGTTAATGAGCTCCGTTTTACAAACACCTGTGATACAAGTAGTCAGCCAAAATAAACTATCAATAGACCAATTAAAAGATTACTCGAGTTGTAAATATGTGCTAAATTGGATAGTCTATGAAAAGGTATATACTATGAAATTAAGAGCTCGGGGCAAGCCCCTCACTCTAAATTTCATAGTATATACCTTTCCATAGACTAACCTAGACATAACCCCTAATTTTAAAAGAGACAAAGAGTTGTATTCACTAAAGGTGTGAAAAATATCAGTGATAGGTAAACAGATGACACTAATGAGTTGCAATTATTTAAATATAAAGTTGATTAGCTTCACTTAATTTTTTTAATCCTTTAATCATCACAATATAATAAGAATTATGAAGTGTACATGCTCATTAAACACTGAGTTATGTGTGCTGTGAAAAAAATTGTTTGACTTTTAATTTTTTCAGGTTCATATTGGTTTATGTTCGCTTTTCTCAAACAATAGGCTGTTAGTCATACCCTACAAAATCATTGATGCATTACGAAAACAACACATGTGGCGTGTTTTTTTGTTCTTCCGTAGTGAGCCAGAAGAGGTCCATTTCTGTTTTTTTGAATAGGGAAGATCTTCTGGCTCTCTTCCACCTCTTCTTTTTTGATAGGTAGTTTAGACAGCAGAGGCACATAACAAACATGGCGTCGTTTAGTCTAAATGACATTAATAAATTTATGAATGCAGATATATTAGAATGTGAGCTGTGTTATAAAAGTTTTTATGGTATGACAGTCTTAGTAGGACATCCCTGTAGGACGATAAGCTGGATAAATATAAGAACTACACGGACAATAACAGTTAAGGGACAACTATTTGATATTGTAGGGGAAGGATTTTGATTGATTGGTGTATAACGCTTCTTTCAACACTAAGTTGGGCTATTCCGTGGTGGTCAGTTTAAATTTATAGATGAAGGATGGGGAAGGGAAGAGGGCATTATTAACTTTTTTAATCTGTCGCTGAAGGTGGAAGACCTGTATGCTTCATACTTTGTATATGGATGCCTCATGTTACGAAGTTTCCGTCAGTCACATGTCCAATGTCCTTGACCTCATTTTCATGGTTCAGAGACTACTTGAAAAAAAAGTTAAGATTTTTTGTAATGTTAAATTCTCTCTTATTATAAGTAATAGGATAACTATATTTGGTATGTGCATACCTTGCAAGGTCCTCATGCCCGTCAGATAGTTTTCACTTGACCTCAACCTCATTTCATGGATCAGTGAACAAGGTTAAGTTTTCGTGGTCAAGTCTATATCTGAGATACTATAAGCAATAGGTCTACTATATTTGGTGTATGTAATGATAGTAAGGGGTACATGTCCAACTGGCAGGTGTCATCTGACCTTGGCCTCATTTTCATGGTTCAGTGGTCATAGTTTAGTTTTTGTGTTTTGGTCTGTTTTTCTTATACTGTATGCAATAGGTCAACTCTATTTGGTGTATGGAAATATTGTACGATGTTCATGTCAGTCTGGCAAGTT